TATATATATATATATATGGCCGCATGCTTTTGTATGTCTATGATCCTCATTGTATTATTTCATTGTTTCTTTCAAGCAAATTGAGTCATTTTTTGTAAGAGGCAGTCAAGTTATAAAGTAGTGGAAGTCTTTAGTTTGAATGCAACACAGGTAGTGCAGGCTTCCCCCATTGTCCAGCTGTTTGCCTCTTGGTGGAGTCATCTTGCAGTTCTGGGGAGAAGGAACAGCTTTTCTGCTCCTCTTCAACTCTACCTCCTCATTTCAGGGAAGACACCCGCTGGTGGTGCCTCAATAACACATCCAGCAAAGATGAGTCTGGGAGTTTTGCTTAATTTCTGTCCATCTGTCCATTCGGAGTTCGTTGACAGGTTAGAGCTCTCTGAAATCTGTTTTTCACTGAGAAGATGAGAGTAGTCACTCCCTGTTTGTGACTGATTATGCTGCTTGTTGTGTTGGAATGCACTGAGGCATGTGAAAAGGTGAAAAGCAGCCCCTTTATTCAATGCCATTCTTGATACTAGAGATGCACAAAAGATGCCAGTTCACAGCTCATTTCAAGTTTCACCAAGAGTGAGCTTTCAGAAATCACCTCCAAGCATTGAGCCAGCCAATAAAAAATACAGAATACTTTTTATCATACGAAAAAGATTTTATTAGGAACTAGTGAAAAGATAGAGATGAAAGTATTTTACCAGCTGACAGCAGAGAAGACATAATGAAGAAATTTTCCTACATCAGTCTTCTCATACAGAAACATCTCCACACACTTTATGCAGTGAGTGTTTTGTATTTGAATGAGCAGATAGGTATGTAATGGAATAACATTTTCCCCACCAGATAAAGCATTTGACTGTCATCACTGTCCAAACATCTTCTCCTTGGCTGCTTGCTTCTGACACACATTTTATGACTGATGGCCTGAATTTGACTTTAGACTCTCATTCAGCTATCGCACTGAAGAATGAGACTTTAATCGTGTAGCTTATCAAATAAAGCTCTTTATCATCATTGAGCCTCCATATCTTGGATTTGAGCCACAGGGTTAAAAGGCAAAGTGTATATTTTGCTTCCAAAATGTGGGGTTTTTCATGTTGAACAAATGAGGTATTTAATGGGTTTCAAATTTAGAAATTTGTACCTTGTATGCTTCCTTTACCTTTTGTACTCTTCAGTGTAATGGTTTTAGTTGTGGCATTTTTTAAGTTTTATTCAGTACTGACTAAAGGGAAGATTAAAATCATTAGAGGACATGAAACCACTCCAAGGACCTAGCTTGATGATGACAGTCACTATTTCTCTTGGATACGTTTCAGAATACATTTGCTTTAAATTTATGGATTTTGATAAGCATTCTTTTGGTTGTTCTTGCCATTACATGTTTCTCCTTTAAATTCTCTCTAGTTTCAACTAATGTAACTCAATCTCTTTATGCTTATTCCCCCTTACTTCCTGAGAACTCTACATACATTGATAAAGGTGTCTACAAATGCTGTTTTATTATTTATATCCCCACTATGTAAACATGAAGAAATTAGATACAGCAGAACATTAAGAGAAGAATTTTCAGATAGATTTGTCTGACCAACCAGGCACTTAATCAACCCTCATTTTAAGGAGTCTTGGGCTGGTTGAGCCACTTAGACCTATTATTTCAGTGGGTTTTAGGTGTCTTACAGACATTGGACCTTTTGAAAACACTATTAGTTGCTTTTACACAACTTTTGGGTGTCAGCTGCCTGTGGCAGAGGGAGGAGTGTTTGGTGTGGAGAATCAGGCTGGGTATTTCAGTAGCACAGGCTTTTTCCAACTTTTTTTTTTATTATTATTTTAAAGAATTCAAGTACATCCTGCTTCCAGCTGGATCAGAAATACCAAGGGGACAGCCTTCCTTGCAGTATTTTGGTGCATTTGTTTCAATTTCTGCCTAAAACAGAGCAGAACAGTGAACATAAAAACCAGAAAAAAAAATTAAGTTATTTAAATAACTTACTGGGTTTTTGTTTTGTTTGCTTGTTTGTTTTCCCCAGTTGAGGCATTTAAACCACACTTTGTGGTGAATAGTAGCATATATATTCTTATTTAAACTAGAATTCATACGTATTGTAGACTATATTTTGGAAGCATTTCTATAATATGCAAATGCAACATAAGTAACTAATCCCATATAATAAAAGATATTTTCTTGCAACTTTGTTTTTTTGTGATGCAGGTGGAATGAGCTTTATTTTCTACTGAGTAGCATTTCTATCTTACAAATCATCAGAATTTGATGGAGAAACCAATGATAAGGCAGAAACACTGATCTCATTGTACCTTTCCTGCTAAACCAAATTCATTTTCGATCTGGAGTCTTTGGAGCATTAGTAGAGTATTTAACATGTATCCAAATGATTTTGATACATAGGACAGTGAGAAATCTGATTTCTATAACTTTTACATGATACCCTCAATATTTTTTATTCTAATGCAATGACTGAATTTCCTTGTTTCCAGTGTCTGAAGAATATACAATCCCTCCTGTGCCACTTGCATAATTTTTTCCTTTCTTTTCAGATGAAGGATCCATCAAATTCATACCTTTCCTCAGAGGAATTCCTCAGGAATGTTTATGTTTTGGCAGTTCTCCTCTTCCTGGCCCTTATCTTGCAGAGGACATTCCTGCAGGCATCCTACTATGTGACTACAGAAACTGGCATCAACCTACGAGGTGCTTTACTGGTGAGCAAAGACATTACCACAATCAGCCAAAAGAATCATTAATAATAGCTCCAGCTTTGTGTGCTTGTTTTTCTTGTTCTTTATCTGAAGATTCAGTTAACAAGGAGAAAATATTCGCTGTGTTTTCATACAGAAAACTGGAAGAAGCAGTAACCATGACACAGCCAAACTGACGACAGCAGTTCCTTTGGCTGAAAACTGAAACCATCACACTAACCTGTAGATGTTTAACACCCACTCTATGCATGTCAGAACCTCTCTTTACAGATGATGTTAGGTATATGGAGATAATCAGTGTTGTTTTGGCTCTACATCTGCTTTGCTCATTTGCTTATGAGGTGACTTGTGCTGGTTGCGTGCAGAGTCATCTGCAGAGTATCTTTGGCCAAGCCATGCTTTACAAGAACACTGTCCACATATCATGAGTGGTGATTCTGATTATTTATGCCCTTTGGCACAAAGATTTGTGAGATGGGACAGGAGTGATTCATCTGCAGAAATGTATCTCTAAAACCAGCATCCCTTCACCCTCTGTGAAAGTTTATGTTGGTGAAGTGGAGCCAGCAGCTCATGTTCAGCACGTAGGTGGGTTGCACCAGGGGTGTCTGCAGACCAAATTCCACAGACTGCAGAAGCACTGTGCACAAACAGAAGGTGGAACTGATGTTTTGCCAGGTGTAACTCACCATAGGGATTTCATCTCAGCATGGAAGCTTCTTTTTTTGTGCACACTGTGATTGATGTGGCCATTTCAAGCATTTTCTGCCTTCTCCCAGGGTAGCTGGTACAGACTTGGTGAAAAAAAAGTACTTGATTATTTCTTTGTGCTTTTGTGACTCCTACTTGCCAAAATGGGAACTCTTAGGACCATATACAGCTGGTGTAATTCACTGTGGTCTGTAGGCATTTCTGATTAATTCTGCAGGATATACCTTGCTTATGGGCAAAACAGGGCAAAGAGCAAAAATTTTTTTTAAAACTTTCTTGAAGCTGCAATGTTTGATATTTGGCCATAACTGCAAACTGGGCTCACCATATTTGTCTTTAAAATTCTGGTAGATATAAGACCTGATTAATATAAAACAGAAAAGCAGGCTCACCGAATGTGTGATAAATAAAGATCTTTGCCCAGACTCCTACATTTTGATGTTTTGTCATTTTGTTCTATTTTAGGTCTGCATTAAGCAACAAACCTTTTAAGAGGAATTGAAGTTTTTAAAAGTCAGTTCTCTCTCTTGTGCTTTCTCTCACTCTGTCTCCATCTCTCTCTCTATCTCAGGTGAGAGACTGGGAGAAGGACTGTCTTAGGTAAAGACTAATACCACAGTTTGAAACATCCTGCTACTACTGTGCTATAATTTTATCATTTTTATATCTTCCATTTTATTCCTTTCCCACAGGCAATGATATATAACAAGATCCTGAGGCTTTCTACATCCAACTTGTCCATGGGAGAGATGACGCTGGGACAGATCAATAACTTGGTCGCCATAGAAACAAATCAATTAATGTGGTTCTTGTTCCTGTGCCCCAATCTGTGGGCCATGCCTGTTCAGGTAGAGCATCAAAATAAGGGCCTAAGTTCAGAGATCCTCCAGCCTTATGGCAAAGACTGTATGTCTGTGAGACTACTGCAAAATCCAGAGGGGAATCTGGACTTCACACTCATTCACTAGGAACACTAACAAGCAGAAATGTGGCTCCCCATCTCCTCCAAGGGCTGGGAAGCTGTCTGCAGTAAAGAGGATTTTTTTTGAGCAGGATTTGGATGCCATTGATGTGGTCTGTGACTTTAAGAATGATGACTTGTTGTCCTTTCCCTGATCGTATTTCTTCCACTAGTGACACAAGTCTTTACTTTTATTTCTGCCACATGGCAGCAGCACAGGCATCTGACCAGAACTAAGTATTGCATTTGCAGTGTCCACTTGTAGCTGCGTTTTGTGAAGGAGCAAAAAGCAATTGAATCCCACTCAGTGGCTGAGAGCAGCACTGACTGTGCTACATGAAACTCTCAGAGGAGCTCTCATCTAACCAGGTTTAGTTACTGTAAACAGCTGGTTCTTAACAAGGCTGGGAAAGATCTGTAGGCAGATCTGTAAGAAGGAAAAATTAAAAAATATTAGCCTGAAAGGACCTAAGCCATGTGGACTTTGCATGAAGCTTGGACTTCTGGAGCACCTTCAACATTTTCACTTTGGGTGGGATTGGCATAGTCCTTACCTATAAGTTATCCCATTATGACTTATGACATTAAACAAGTTTAAAAAGGGATAGAAGGCACCCTTGCAATAGATCTATTTTGCTGAAATTCCTGGAACCGTATCAGTAATCTGTTATAATAATCAGCAATATTACTACTACTAAAGGATTGGGTAGGGTTTAGAGAGTTGTAAAATAGTTAATGGAGAAAAAGACAAAAAAGTTTACACAGCAACAGAAATCAGAAATAATACAGAGGGTTTCATTTGAAGTCATTGGTTCAAATCCAGGTTTATTTGGAAGTGTGGCTGTTAATACTTTGAATGTTATTAAATGAATCATAGAATCACAGAATGTCTTAGGTTGGAAAGGACCCTACAGATCATCTAATCCAACCCCACTGCCCTGGGATGTTCAACTAGATTAGGTTGCTCAAGGCTTCACCCAACCTGGCCTTGAACACCTCCAGGGAGAGGACATTCACAACCTCTCTGGGCAATCTGTTCCAGAATATCACCACCCTTGTACAGAAGAACTTCTTTGCTGTAGCTGGTGATATGTAGATCTTGTATTAACTCAGGAACCAGAATCATGGTGGTTGTATCAGAGCTATCCCCATGTAAACCTCTGTGGGCAGTGTTCCTAAACTGTTTGTAGGGCTAAGGTACCATCTTGGTATTTTCCTACAGAGCTACATGGTATTGATGCACAAGCTCAGGTTTGAGGTGTGTCACTTCCAGCACATCTGCTTCATGCTTCAGTGCCTGTCTTAGGTGTGCCTCTGTCTGCAGCTGCAAGAGGATCACTATAACAGAGTGCAACCTTTGAATAACTCCAGAGGGATGTAAGGAGCTCCAGTGGAAACAACTTGAAACCAGTAAAATGCCTTGGGGCAGCACCATCATTTTAGTGCTCTTTTAGTTCAGTGGAAGCCTCATCTAGAATTAGGACTACTAGCCAGTAACTCAAACTATGCAGCTAATGCCAAAAATAAAGGCTTCTGGGTTCATTTCCCACACTTTCTGAACATGACCTTCTGAAGTACAGTCTCACTGATGCCTATGAACTATTTAGCTGTTTATTAGAAGAACAAATAATATTTTTTTTTCCTTTCTATCATTCTGGCATATTGAAATTATTTTTTTTAATACGTTACTTTTTCTCCACAGATAATAATGGGTGTGATCCTGCTCTATAATTTACTGGGAGTGAGTGCCTTAGTTGGTGCTGCTGTCATTGTCCTCTTAGCTCCAATACAGTACTTCATAGCTACGAAGCTGGCTGAGGCTCAGAAGAGCACTCTTGTAAGTAAATTATTTCAGTGACATCTGTGATCCAGAAGTGAGAACAGGGAACCAAGGGTTCTGGATTCTGTTCCTGATGTTAGTGAACATTCATTGTGGAGCTTTGGGAAGCCATCCCTTAATTCCATTGTCCCTTTCTGTTTTCTATGGCTCAGTAGATCTTCCTTCCTAACATCTGCCAGATAAAAAACTGACAAAAAGTATATGAGCCTTGATCTGCCTTCTCTGCAGAGACCATTTTTCACCCAACTAGCACAGTTTCACCTGAATTCAGTTCCATGAAAGGGTGTTACTCCTCCATTCAGATGTTGTATTTCATGGGATGTTAATGAACAGTACAAATGACTGATAAACTATAGAAGGACTGTATTAAAGAATGTGTGCACCCCCCTTCTGAAATGGCCAGAGACTTTATGCTCTCACCCTAGGCTTTGGTATTCTCTAAAAATCAGCTGGCATTGCTTCATTCATGCCTATTGTGCATTTTTAAGTGTGTAAGTTTATTTTGCTATCTAATTTAGTTTAGCAGTTAGAAAAGTTTTTGTTTACATTGTCTAATTTTTAACTTCATTCCTGTGATCCTTGAACTTTTTAAATCAACCTTTGAGGTTTGATTTGTCATATATTTAAAGAACCTTGTTATCTTAATATTCATTAAGCAAATTATACAGACATGAATCTAATCTTTAGTACACTTCATTCCTGTTGAGTTGTGCCATTTTAAATCAACACAAGGTTTATCTTTGTATAATTTCAGAAATAGTCTGAATCTTCCTTTTTCCTCTTTTCTGAGTTCCTCTGACTCATAAAATCTTTTGAATTATGCTTTTACAAAAACTTATGATTGCTGTTTGCTGGTGAGGGGCACTTAGCTAAACACATGCATAAATATCTCACTTATTTTCGTGACTGGTCTGTATGAATCCCAGAATTAATCTTCTATCAGCAATTACACACATGTAGTCTATCTTTATAGACACCATTAAACTACTAATCCACCTCCCTGAGTTTCACCCTCTATTCGAAGGATTTGGATGTTTTGGGTTATTTTTCTTTTCCCAACAGGACCACTTAATTTCCCCTCATGACTGTAAACATTTTAATATCACCAAAGAACATGGAATTTTATACTGTTTAACTCATTAGGGCAACTCAAAGCCTGTACAAAATCACAAACAAATAAAATTATAAATCTTTAAATAATTGTACAATGGAAGTGAAGGGAAAAGAGTATTCTCATTTAATCTACAAACCATTATCAATTTCTTAGCCTTGTTTTCTTTTGAAATGAAGGACTATTCAACTGAGAGACTAAAGAAAACCAATGAAATACTAAAAGGTATTAAATTATTAAAGCTGTATGCCTGGGAACACATATTTTGTACCAGCGTGGAAGAAACAAGAATGAAGGAACTCACCAGTCTCAAAACCTTTGCACTTCACACATCTCTTTCCAGTAAGTAACTGTTTTTAGTGCTTGGAAATGGATCCTGTTCTTCATGTCAACATTCCTTCTTCAACTAAAGCAAGGTACAGCTGTGCCTGTGACACTTTTACACAAATACATAACACAGAAGCTTGAAAATATAGAGTATATCTTGGGGATTTTTTTGGTAGTAAGTTTTTTGTCACCTTCTCTGTGACATTGCAAGTATGAGTTGCTTTGTAGTAAGGAGGCTCCAGATAATATTAGCAGCTCTGATTACAGCAAAGATGAATTAGTGTCTGAAATAAATTGTGTTTTCTGTAATGTAGAAGAGCTGAGAGGGTAACGTTTCAGTTGTGCTGCTTAATAACTATGCACACTGAACTTCTTATCCCAGCTCACTAAAGTATACAAATAAGATAATTCCTATTTGTTTGTGTATTTAAGATCTCTCTGTGTCATGGAAGGAAACTTCTTCCTGCAGAACATTTTTCCTTTGCGAGTTTTAAATGCTTGAATTGGAAACACCCAGATTTTTCTAGTGCCATAGAACAAACTGTACAACTGTTTTTTTCTTATTTTGTAAAATTTGATGCCTATTTTATCTCTTTTTATGTCTTTTTCCACAGTTTTTATGAATGCGGCCATACCAATAGCAGCTGTTCTTGCAGTAAGATATGGGGTTTTTTTAATTTTCTTTATAAAAGGAAAGAGAAAAAGAGAGAGGGAGAAAGAAAGAAAGAGAGAAAGAAAGGACACAGTTATTATTTTAGGACAGATTCCTCATAAAACCAGCAGAGAAGTTAATGTGCCCCTGCTAACTAGTATAGCCCATTCCCAGAGCTGGTATTTCACCAGCTCTGGTTTGGATTGGTAAAAACAAAAAGAAATACACATTTTTACTATAAGAAATAAAGAAAAAAATCATTGCAACTTAGAAGAAGACCCATTCTGAGAAGTTCTTGTTTTGAAGGGATTTTTTAAATCTCAGCCTAATGTACTAGAGGAACCATGGCTTGCTAGTCAGTAAGGAGTTGTCATAGATGGAATTCTGAGGGCATAATTCAGTGTATGCTAGCAGTATGTACCAGAATTGGATGAAGTATGCCCATAGCTCTGCATCTGTTAAAAAAAAAAACTCTAAGATTTATTGGATTCTTACTGATTTTCCTGGGTTGTGTATTTCCTCTAAACACTGAAGTCAGTTCTAAAGCTTTACAAAGTGAAATGCTTTGATTTTACACAGAAAATTTTTTCATTCTTAAACAGGTAAATCTCTTTAAATCACCGGCAAGTTTTAAAACCATTTTTTCACTTTAAGAGAAGACAATTTTCTCTTCAGTTTACTGTGATTCTCAGTAAATTGAGGTGTATAGTTTTTTGCCTTAGCTAGGCAGAATATTTTGCTCTCCTTGTCCATCTTTTCCAAGAGTCCTTATCCTGACATGCTCTTTTCTTGACGTGACAGACCTTCGTGACCTATGCATATACCAACGAGAAGCCACTGCAGCCTGCCCAGGCCTTTGCATCACTGTCCCTCTTCCACATCCTGGTCACACCACTGTTCCTGCTCTCTACTGTGGTTCGTTTTGCAGTCAAGGCTATCATAAGGTAAGGTGGCCCTTCGAGTTCCTCCAGCTCTTGAACACCTACATTCTGTAATCCAGCAGCAAAAGTGCTGTCAGAAAAGGTTGTTTCCACCTGCTTGTGCAGAAGAGGATTTAGAGGTGGGCCTCTGAAGTTCACAAATGTGAAATTCAGAGTAACCTTTTCTTTTTGCTGCATGACAAAAGACAAATATTCCCTTCTTTCCATGATTGCACCAAGTTTGGCAGTTCAGATTCAGAGCCGGGCTGTCCTTGCTTGGCTTATGCTCCTCTTCACACAGTGTGGCCACCCACCATTGCTCTCACTTAGCACTCTTCTGGACTCTCTTCAACACAGAGGGAGAAGAGAAAGACTGGTGGAAGTTATTTAGAAAGACCGACCATGCTGATGCAAGGTAGAACAACTGACTCAACTGTACCTCCACAAAGGCCTCCAAAGGGTGTTAAGTGAGAATCTGGTATTGTCCAGTCTCTCACTGTCTAGCATTAGCATGGACTTTAGGAAAGAAAGTGGATGGAGGAATATTGGACACTGAAGGATTAGTTACTCCAGGGAAGCTGAGCCATAAAGGATTCTCTTATAGAGGAAATAGTGTTCCTCTGAATGGCAGTTAAAGAGATGCAGGAAAGGAAGCATGGCAAGGCAGATATTTCGGAGTTTCATCTGTGAGGGTTAGGAATCCCCATGGCATGGTAAGGAAGTTGGCATGAAGTGGAGAATAATTCTTTTAGAAAAAGGAAAAGAAACTCATAAAATGTGTTGTGTCATCAGAAACTTATATGTTCCAGGCATTTATTTCTGCAAATAGCCCAACAAAATAACTTCCTTCATGCTGAGCTATAGAATACTTAATAATCTCAAGGGAGCTGGTTGGTAGTAAGTCAAATTTCAGAGTTTTGGCTGTTGCATCAGTGGTCTGTATGGAGTCATGGTCATGGGGCAGCTATGTAGAAGTATACGCTGCCAAAATATCCCAAGGGGCACAGGCTGACACCTGACTGGCAGTAATGTGTCAGATGACAAGCACTAGAAGGATGTGAAGACTGAACTAACCTTCCCACCCAGAAACATAGTTTCTTCTTGCCAAGACTGAGACACACTGGCAAAGTATTGCATTGCTGCTGCCACTGCCTCTTTTTGGTGCAGAATGATAAGAATAAATAGCAGTGAAGGGGACTTCAGGCTCTACAGCTATCTTTTGCCAGCACTACACTCATGTAAGGAAAAAAAAAAATAAATTAAATTGGGTTTATTTTTATTGAAGCAAGACCAGGGCCACATGAGAGATTTTCCCTAGGTTGAAATTGTTTCTGACTAGTGGAAAATTTCAAGTCTCCTTTATAAATCATCCCAGCCTCTACAACTCTGCACTATGTTTAGCACAGCCTTAACAGCAAAATGGTGTGTACATTTTCCTTAGCACTGCTGGCCACCTCTCAGGGCTTTATTTAAAGACCATATTTGCCAAAACAAACTTTGGCAAACTTATTTCATAGCATCTTTCTCCCATGAACATCATGTCCCCCAAATGAAGAATGTATTCCTGGCCACTCAATGGCTTTATCATCAATCAAATACATGTATAAGAGTATGCACTTGTTTATGGTAGGATTAAGAGCTTATGCTTTTATGAAAATCTCCATTTTATTGCAATGACTATTCTAGTACCATGAAAGCTTTTGGGAGTACCTGTCCTCATTCAAATTCAAAATAATGTCTCTATGATTCTATGTATTCTTAGGTAGATGACCAGAACGAGCTCTCTGATTTTCTACACAAAGATAAATTCTATGCACATATGTAAGGTTGAAGTTCTGATATGGGCATTAGACATAAATTTTCCTTTCAAAAGAAGAGATAGGAACAGGTATACTGGCAGGAGGATATAATGACAATAGCAGTGCTTTCTTGCTAACCAGTACCTCTGTGGCTAGGATATGTATGGATAATTTCATATGAAATGCTCAGACAGGCCTTGACACAGGACTGCTTTCCCATTTGCAGGTTAATGTTCAAATCACTGATCTGAAGTTATATGTTCCTCTGCCAGTCTCTGGCTCAATGCACCTTCACTTTAGTTTTTGCAAAATAACATAGCTTCACCATGACCCACGGGTGCTTTTGTTCGTCCCTTCCTCAGAATGATAAGGACAAAGATATTTACAGCACTCTGAAAGGAAGGGAGCAGAAAGAGGCTCAGCTCTTTCTGTGATGAGGAATAAATTGAACCCGTGTGCTGTATTCCCCAGAGGACAGTTTTAAGAAGCAAGCAAAGAGAGCTCTTGCTGTATTTCTCCAAGGCTGGCCATAGTTGTGCTGATTAGTGCAGTGGTCAGTCCTGTGTGCATGCAGTTTATGCAGAAGCTGTGTTCAGGCTGCAGCTAGTGCATTGGCAGTTTAAGAGGATGTAGGTGAGTGAATGACTCATTTATGTATCCTGAATGTGTGTAGGCTTGAGAAAGACACAGAAGAGAGAGGCTGGTCAAGATGGAATCCATTCCCACAGAGCTCTAGTGGTGCTCACATGACCAGATCTCCTCTTCATTCTCAGCTACCAGTGGGGTGTTTCATTATTTTCATCTATCCTTCTTCCACATAAATAATTTTTCACTCGCCATCAGACAGTCCAATAGGAACCCAAAAGTTTCCCATGAACTTCTTTTGGAACACTTCTGATACATCCTGCTGGCTGGACTGAATAAAAATGGAAATGTCCTCCAGAAACCTGAGTTTATTGAACTCACTGTCCTGTTTTCTTTCAAGTGTACAGAAGCTGAATGAGTTCCTCCTGAGTGATGAGATTGGAGATGACAGCTGGAGAGGTGGAGACAGCTCTTTAGCTTATGAATCCTGTAAGAAGCACACAGGACTTGTAAGTTCTGTTTTATGAGGCTGAATTTCAAAGCAGAGATACAGTTGGGGAATTTTGGCTTCCAGTCTGACTCTAACATTGACCGGTTTTGCCTCTTCTACCTCAGGATCTCTGTGTTGCTATGAGATGGTCTCCAAACACATTTAAGCATTGCTGAAGTGCCAGTAGTAATAAAAAAACCCCTCATCACACCAACACATTTACACGTGGCTCAAATCTGTCCTCCTCAGCTTTTATAAAAGGCCCAGGTACATTTCTTGTGGCTATGGGTTTGTCCTGTATGCTGCCAGGAAAATCCATTCTGTGTTGGGCATCTTTAGACAGGACTGATTCCTACTCTGGGAAATTCATAATTTCCCAGAAAAACAACATCAAACTTTGTGAAACAGGAATTAATTCCAAAGTACTGTTTCAGGAGAGCTAAACATATAGCAAATTTAGAGAAATTTGGGGGAACAAAAAACTCAAGGAAGTTCATTTAGGAATTTTTTTTTTTTTTCATTTTGAGATTTTTCTAAAGCTAGATATTTTAACTCTTTCAAACTGATCATGTCATTTGAAATGTGACTGAAGCTTGAAGACAGCTACAGAAATAAAAGATTAGCATAAAATAAGTTTTATTTTGAGCTGAATTAAATTGGTTTGCCAACCCAATATGTTTCATGTTTTTCTGGCTTAACAGTTATAATAAAGGAAACAAAAAAGAAATTGTTTCAGCATCTGTTTTGCTTCTTTTGTCCATCTTTTGCCCAGCCCTACAGAGAGATACAAAGTCTAGAATGATGGGGAAATGGGAAAAAAAATGGAAAAATAAAGGTCGTATCTGTAAAGGTTGACTCACTCACTGTAGACAGCCCATCTGTAAGGAGTCACTAAGTTTATGCTAATTGCACAAACTAATTTGATATGCTTCTCACTCCTGCAGCTATTCTGCTTCCAAGAACGAAGCTGGTAACTGCATTTCATTACACTTTTACTGCCACAGCTTTGTTTGGAGCTACCTCAGGTAGGGCAGACTTACCTAGTGGCTGAAGGAGGATGACAGAGGTGAAATTTAGGATGATTCTGCATGGGAAACCAAAACCAGAAGGATGTCCCCCATGCTTCAGGGAAGGATGTTTGAAACATTAAACTGTATGCATCACTGTAGTGTGTCTTTATTATCACTTATATTGAAAAGCATTGGTTTCTTCTTGTGACCTAGAATGGTGGTAAGGAAAGGAATGGATTGTCTGTTTTATAAGGAAACAAATGCTGTCCCATCTTGAGAACTCAAACTTTTCTCTCCCCCTTTCTTAATTTCTCTATGTAGCACACCAAGGCCATCAACAGGAGGCAGCCCTTGAGATATCAGCTTGAAAGCTATGAACAGCCAACAAGGAAGCAAACACGTCCTGTGGAGATAGATGACATTGCAATCAAGGTGGTTTGAAAATGTTGCTTTATCCTTTACAAAGAGCAAGGTCCTCCTGCAACAGGACCAAACAGTGCTCAATTGCTGCTGTTCTTCCAAAGGCAGATCGTCCATTGCAAGCCCTTAAATAAAGCAGTACTTTGGACAAAAATGAAGTGAGAAGGATTCACTACAGACCCACTCTTTGTAGTGATTCTCTGTCTTCTCAGGAAACAGAGACATCATGAATCTAAAGGAACAAAAACCAGATAATCTGATATGCAGAAATTATTACAGATTTTTTTTAGACTTTCATTCTCTTCTCTTGCCCTCTTAGAATCAAAGTCAAAACGTTTGAATCATTTTTTGATATTTATTATGATGTGTAATTTATGATGACATTTTAAGTCATGTAGGCCAAATTGTCCCCCCACATGTCCTTGTGCTCTGTGCAAAGAATGTTTCATGCACCTATCAACTCCACAGATAGTACAAAAAGGCTGGTGTATACTGGGGAACGTTTTTCTTATGTCCAACATAAGCCTTGTAAATATTTAATTAGTATTTTGGGAATCCATTCACAAGAGGCCATATATCACAATATACAGGATGATTCATTCCTTGATAAGTTCTGCTGTCACCTGTGAGACCTTGTGATCATTATTCTTAGTCTTTAATCATATACTTGACAGAATTAAAGTCTTTGGTAGAGTTCAACTCAAGATAATCCCTTTATTGCATTTCACACAGTATATATATTTGTGTATATTCACAAACTTTTCTGAATTTGACAGTCTTTACTAACCTAACTTGTTTTTTTTTTTTGCTGTCTGGTCATACGTTACCATGTCTATTAATCACAGATGTATTTCAGTAACATATTTTAAATCCAAACTAGACATTCTATTTGCTTCCTTCATTGGCTTAAGTATTTGCTTAATTGATTTGTAGGTGACCAATGGATACTTTTCATGGGGAAGTGGCTTAGCTACATTGTCCAACATAAACATCAGAATCCCAACAGGTAAGATAAATGCACATGTTAAACATTAAATATGTAATATCAAATCACTAGTAATTCCATTTTTTTTGATGTTCTAAAAAGCACAAACCCACACATTTAGGTTTTTATAAGAAAAAAATTGAAGGTTAAAAATGCATACAAAGTCATGAATTGTATTGATCATATAGCTATATCATTAACCTAAAGTACTATAAATAAAACATTACATGATTTTATATAACTATATAGTTTATATGTTTTTATAGTAACAGGAATAAACTCAAGAGTAAGAATAAATGTGAAAAAGATGGCTGCAAAAAAAAATCTTTATTATTTTTAACAGGCAAATTGAAAAAAAAAAAAAGCAAGAGGGAGAACCCCCAAATAATTGAAACCAAGGGTCCATCTAATCCAGTATTTTACAGGGACTCAGCACTTACATGGTTATACTTCTACCCTTCCTCAGAATTACAGCCTCCCAGTTCACAACTGTTTTCATCTCAGAGAACTCTTTGAGCCTCATGCAGTTTGCCTGTCAATAAATCCTCAATTATTTTCTATTTATTTCAATTAATTCTCTTTGTCCAGCTGAGCTCCTTGTGTTTCTTCTATCCTCAGGGTCTTTTGGCTCAGAGTTCCACAGGTTTACAAAACACTGATTTGTTTTGGAACACTTACATAGCAAGTGCAAAAAGTAGCGACTTACTGTTATTGTTGCTGTAAAATCCCCAACCCTGCTAGTATTTCATGTTATTAAATTGCCTTATATTTTATTTTCATATCCTACAAAGTACTTAGTTTTTAAATACCTTATTGCTTTAGGTTGACACATTTTAGGTGTCACATAATTATCCACAAGCTGGGTGAGACAGACTGAAAGTTTACCTCCTTTGGAAGGAGTAAGACCTTTTACTAACACTAGCAATCACACCAGCTAGCACAGCTAGGGAGTTCAATTAGTTCATGGGAAGATGTGAGAAGCACCATTGCCACTATAATGTAGCAGGAAGGTAGAAAAGTTGTGGTGGGGCAGGAATACAGCAAATTAGAACAGAGAAATGGATCTTCTTTCAGTTGCAGTCACTTATTAGATTGGCCCAAATTTTTATGGAAGCTCAGACTGAATAATCACTCCCCACTTTATATAATTTGACCCTGAATAATTTCCATAAAGTAACACAGTTGCACAGAATATATTATAATATATGTCAAAACAATAATTCCTTTGGAGATCAGGGTGTACTTCTGCTGTCCATTATTATATGTATCCATAGATTAATGCATGAAAAATTGTCCATTTATGTAGTGGATGCTAAAAAATTTAACCAACTGGTTTCAAGTGCTCTAGAACTGGACCTAGTTGGGCCTTGTGGACTTCAGTAGAATCGTTTGGTTTGGGTTTTTTTTTTTGGTTTGGTTTGGTTTGGTTTGGTTTGGTTTGGTTGTTTGTTTGTTTGTTTTGTTTGTTTGTTTTGTTGTTGTTTTGTTTTTTTAAATGTGGTTTTATGATCGTAGGTCAGATGACAATGATTGTGGGCCAGGTTGGCTGTGGCAAGTCATCACTTCTCCTTGCTATACTGGGAGAGATGCAGACACTGGAGGGCAAAGTTCACTGGAGCAAGTATGTTTCATATAGCTATGAATTGCTGTGTTTATTTAAGAAGGAGGTGGGATTGGCTGTGAGAAATGTAAACCTCACGTCTTAGAACTGGATGTTGAACGATTATCACCATCTGGATGCTCTCTGGAAGGCATCACCTTCAAACATCTGCAGGATTTTCATTGCTGTTTTGTCGTGGCTCAGAGCTAGCAGAGCAGAGTGGCTCAGGAGAGGAAAGAGGCTACCCTGGCCATTATTATCTAATATATTAGCCCTAGCAAATGGCCTGAATATAAAGCATATGCTATTCCTGTTATCAAATAGGCTTCAGTACTCACTGTAATATGCTGGCACTGTGCACACCAGTGAAAGCATGACAGGCTGGAATTTCTTCAGTGGAGTGGTATGTGTGGGGTACCAGCATACAGCAAAGGCTGTCCTTACCTCTCAGTGATGCTGCTGCTAGCAGGGAAAAAAAAAAGGAAAAGAGTGATATAATAACATGTGAGCAATGCTTTTCCCTTCCCTGGTATCTGCCTAGGCCATGCCTGTGGAAATCACTGTTATTCTTCACAGTAATGCATTCAGAAAGCAGCCTGAGGACACCTAAGGACTAAAGGCTGCAAAGAGGCTGTTGCTGAAGAGGGAACTGCCAGTGAGGTCAGGCCTCGGGATCCACCTGGATTTAAACCCAGGGAATGAGAAATTCCTACAGAAACTCAGTGGGGCAGCAACCACTCTTCCAGCCTAGGCAGGGCAGAGGCTGTGGAAACCATGTCCTGTAACCCTAAGACTTGTTCCTTGATTTTAAAGATCAGTTCTGTTTCCTTAAAACTACTAAGCCCAGCTCTTTGTAATTAGCTTCGTGAGAAGAAAGGGTCAATTTTGTGAGGGACAAATATTTTTTGCCCCATCCCTTGACTAGTAACCTCCTCTGTCATCCTTTTCTTACAGTGGTGTTGCAAGCTGGATATTTTTGCTTTTCCTGGGCTAGTACGCATGGCATTTTTTGTCCTCTAGTGTATTTCACTGTCTGCTATTCTGAGTCTATGATCTCACTGGAGTAGCAGGTACAGTTGGAGCCAAGGCAAGACCAGCTTTAATTTAATTATATGTGAGTTTAACCCCTGAAGGAAGAAGAATATGTGGCTTACCACAGTTAATTTATTTGAGAAATATAATGCAGATTTTGACATCACAATCACACTTTTTTTTCTAAGTATTTTAAGAACTTATGAGTGAGTAGAGTGTGCCTGGAAATTATTCTCACAATTGTTTTCAAAGATATATTTGAGAAACACTCAGATTTGTCATAGAGAAAGATAAAGAATCTTAGAAACATTAGAGAAAATGAGAAATCTTAGAAAGATGCTACAGAATGTTTATTAAATACAATTGAAGTCTCACATTCAATAGAGATCAAGAGCATATTGTCAGTGGATGAGCAGTCTGTACATGACCAGCCAACTCATGTTCTAGCAAGCATCTCAGGCCTCACTGAGTGACCTTTTTTCATTGCAAATGATGACTTGGTACTGTCATACAGCTGGTGCAAACATGGTTATGTCTTGCTGATAATTTCAGACTGCCTGGCAGACACCTGAATACAGAAGGATGCTTCAGGTATTTAACAAAGTGGATCCTATATTTTACAAAACCATAATAAAGGTCCTATTTGCTCTTTTAAATCATTTTCAATGTGACTCCCCATGCATGACTAACGCAGCTACTGATCCAGGGATGAATTCCCCTAAAACTTCAGGTGTAACAATTGCAAGTGGTAGTAATGATAGTTCTGATTTCAGCCCCAGTTTTACTGGGGTAATCCTATATTTGTCATAACGCATTCGTCACAGTGAAATTCCCCCACATCATGGGGCTTGAATACCCAGTTGCTGTTGGGGTTGACTGTGGTGAGAGTTGCAGATCCTGCTGCCAAGGTTGTCACTGGTTTGGGATCTTAGGAAAGAAAGGGTGTCAGTGTATCTTTCTGTAAGAGGTATCATCCAGGGGTCAGATATCAAATCTCTTGCCTCTTTTAGCAGAGGAAATGGTTCATTCTTCCATTACAATGCTATCCTAGTGATTTTGTATCATTTTTTTTTCTCCTCCATTTTCCTTTTGAGGGAATCTAGGCCTGGTTAGAGATGCAGTGGTCTGTTTTAAAACATCCAGGGTTAGCATAAAAGTTGTCCAAATTTCAACAAGGTTTCTTTTTTACTTTTTTTTCCTAAAATATTTAAATAAATTTCTGACAGATCAGCTTATATATTAAAAGATCTCGTAAAAATATCTAATCAACCTAATCAGTTTGGTCTTTCCTACCATCTCAGCCTTGAACTCACCATGCCCCACATTATTTTATGGTACAGAATAAAAATCAGTATAAATAGCCACATTTCAATAAGTAAAGAAATTAGAGCAAAGATTACTGATCCCAGAGGGCAAATAAAACACTCTTTTTAGAAATCTCGGGATCTTCAGTTTCAGCCCACTCCCATGCCCTGCAATTGCATCACTCTTTCAGATTCAGTAGGGTAATAAAGTACAAGCCAAATACTTAATCCTCTTATTTGTGAAGGCCCCAGCTCAGCAAAGGTCTCATGTGTCTTTATTCATGAGATTATTAATGAACATCAGTTCTCACAGAAATCTCAGTCAGAAGTTGGATGACTTAAAGTGTATCTGTCAAGCTAAGCACAGAATGAAATTTCTAACTAAGGAAAAAGAGTTTAAGAAATTGAGATCCTAAAATTAGTCCTTGATCATTCAGATAATCTATTTGATTATAAGAGGAAGCATTATTAAATTTAGTATCAAATTGCAAGGAGTCTTGCAAGGCTTGTGGCCAGTTTTTGTAAAATTATACCTCAGTGGGCACTCTGTGTGTATACATGAAAATGTACACATGAAATCATTATCCCTTTCTCTATCATTTTAATGCTCTGCTGATAAAAGTTTGGAGGGTTATAATAGAGTAAATTTAAGTTTTCTTCTTTTTTATTTGGCTCGACCTAATTCCTAACCTCTTTTTAATCTCTCATTAGACTCCATCTTTTGCTCTCTCATAACTTTTTTCCATTGTAGAGAAGACTGGAGGCTTATGCTGAATAAAGGACCAACTCTGGTGAAGCAATGTCTGTTTTGACTCCCAATTTACAGCTCTCAGACCCTCCTGAGATAACCAACAAGGGCTTGTTCACTCCTGATGTAACAGCTTCTCTGGTGATAGGTGCATGAAGGAAACTTTAGGAGGCGTGAATTATCCAAGTTCTTAGAGAGCTGATGTGCAGCACAGAAAACAACATATTTCTGGCATTTTGGGAAGATGCTTAATATGGAAGCCCGGCATTGCAAGGGCTTTCCTATTAGAATTTTTATGACCTTTGCCAGACTTGGATCTTCTGCTTATGTGTGCAGCTGTAGTTGCTGGTATCCCAGGAAGCAAGCAGACATTTCTGTCTCAGCAGTAAAATGTTTCATCTGGAAGATTTGTAGGCTTGGGAGGGGACGATCTGTTTGTTTTGGTTTTGGTTTTGGTTTATTTTTTTTTTAAATCAGCCAAATAACACATTTTTCTAGTCCTTTCTAATGCCTGATTCCATTTACCTGGCAGAAACCCTTACGCTCTTAGGTTTTGTGCTTTGCAATGGTGTGTTGCCATGCCTGGACACGAGCACCATCTCTGGTCCAGAACTGCTTTGATTGCCATTCCACACCCTTGACACTGCTAGAGTCAAGAAACAGAGGGAGCTGAAAATCATTCATGTCATTACTGCCATTGCATGTTCTTCAAAATGTATTTAATGGATATGGTCCTTAAGAAGTGGAGGCTGGCAAGAAAAGCTACATAGTAGTGCCATGCATGACTTGGTGCAGCCTTACTGATACAAACAGGAACAAAATCTGTTCTGAGTCAAAAGTGTGTTTGCACCCTGCAAGATTATATCTGCAAAGCTTGTCTTTGCTCCAGGAGAAATCTGACATTAGTTTCCAGCCTTTGCAGGTCATTGGTGGAATTGTGTGGGGAAACTAACTTTTGGCTTATCAACCTTTTATATGCCCAGGAAATAGCAATAATTTAATTTTTAATAGATTTTGCAATGCATTTTTAATTTTTAATACATCTTCTAACATAGATTGCCTGTTTAGCCACTATGCACTATAGGTATGAAACTATTGTATGTAGGAAAGTTATATACTTTTAATGAGACCTTGCTTATTTTCCCTTTAAGAACTAAAAAAAAACCCCAAAGTGTTGTTGAGCTCTTAAAATATGTACTTAACTCCAGTTTCTCTGTATATAGAACTTGCACAAAATGTTTTTCTCTATATTTCTTGCTTACTAAATGTCATTTACCATAATTTACAGTGTAAATGAAACTGAACCTTCTTTTGAAGCATCCAGAAGGTATTATTTCTGGTTTTGGTGTATCATAATACACTCATTCATTTCTTTGGAGCTTCCTCAAACCTTTGTCTTTGTACCCTTCAGCCATCTCTGTGTTTTCTTACCATGTCAATACTAATTTACTGTAGGATTAACTGAGAGATTATGTTAAATCCAGTGGATCCCAATCTTCTCCAGCCACTGTACCACTACCTCAGTCTTGTCTGAAAGATGTTCAGAGCTCCCAGCTCCCCTGGGACATAACTGGGAGTTAGGTGAGCTCCATCTCTTGCAAGAGAGGGGCTCTAGATAAAACCTTACATGTCCCCTCCCAACTGTTTGCATGTTTTCTGATCAGTACTGGGGCTCATGCTGTTTGTAACCCGTCTTGACCACTCTGTGATAGAGCAGGGCACACAATGTGCAAAAGGAGACTGAAGCAAAAGAAGTCTTGACTGAAGTCAAGCAGTGGTTCCATCCCTGGCTCCAGGGGAAGGGCCTGCAGGTTTAAAGGACAAGCTGAACTAAAAACACATCATAAATGCTAGAGAAGTAGTGCCACACATAGCTGTGGTTGGGAGCCACACCATGATTTGCTGCCTGATAATCCAGAGGACATATGTCATACTAGTGTATACTGAACTGCTAAACCTCCTAGAATGTTTTTGATACTATTGACTGCTTCTAACCAGCTCTCAGACCCTATAACCCTCTCTCTCAATAGCAAATCTTAAATGCTTGAATACAAAACTTTATCAGAAGCTTGGTTTGAAGCAATACCTTCAAAGAGACTGAGAAGGAAGCTAAGTTTTCAGATCCACAAGCTGGTGCCAGTTCACGCATCTTGGGCATCTCAGAAAAACTGCATGACTGTTTTTTGCCACTGTACATAGGCAAAATAGGCAGAAGTAAAGAACATTCATACCCCTATTGTACAGACATCATTAGGTATTTTGACATCTTTAAAGTATGTCTAATACATACTTGGGAGACATTAGAGATTCCTTCCCAGTCTGTATTAAACTGACCTCTTTTCTAAAATCATGTCAAACCACTGAGGACCTAATAGACTTAAAAGAAAAAAGCATTATGTGTTAAAAAAGTATTTTGTATATATGGTCATGTAAAATAATCTAAAATTTCAGAAAGCAGTGAGTCAAATGTACTGCTGCCATTTGAATAGCACCTTTTCACTACCTGCTCTGATGTTAGGGGGAAAAAAAAAAACAACAAATAACTATTCTTGTTCTTATAACTATTTAATAATTTTGATTATTCATCATTTGCCCTTGGATTGAAATGACAGATAGATTGAGGTAGATACCATCCATTTCTAATAGAATAGAATACTACCTAGAGTATAGATTTTGCCATCAGGGGAGAGAGTGGGCACTGTTCTAACAAAAGCATCTAAGTTAAAATTCCTCCCTTCATTTTTGTAACAGTTGCTTTGCCTGTGTATTGCCCTGTATTTTTATGAATGCACACTCATAAAATTATTTTTTTAAAAAAACTGATTCTCAGACATTTCACAACGTGGGTGCTTTGCTTTTTACTGATGCTTTTTATCTGTCTGCAGCAGAAACAGGTACTCAGTGGCTTATGCAGCTCAGAAGCCGTGGCTGCTGAATGCAACCGTGGAGGAGAACATTATCTTTGGAAGCCCATTTAATAAACAGAGGTAAGTATCAAAATCCTTTCAAAAAGACTTGGCAGCTTCTCTTAAAGAGTTTTTTTGGCTTCTCCTTCTGGAGGAAGTCTGTGGATTCTGAAAAATAGCAGTGCACATTAACCCTGGGGTGGATTATCCAACCTGACTTTAGCCATCTCAAAGGAAGGTTTCTGTTTTAAATTAGTCCTTCAAGGCTCCCCATCTAACCACAGTGGATGTCTAAGATGTTTGTGAGAGATCCCACAGTGGCTCTCCACAGAATACAGCGGAAGCCATGTGTGTATTTTTTCAAGCAGCTAAAGTTAGGTGAGATGAATCCCATCTTTGGAGACCACTCACATATTTTTTGTTTTGTTTAATGGAGCCTGAGGTTGCCAGAGGACTCTGGAGATAGGGATTCTAGGCATGTTTCCATTGGATTTGTGTCCTAATCCTGCTGTGGCTCTACAAAAGCACTGCACATATGAAGATGGGGTGCCTCAAGGAAATAACCTCAAGCCTTCCTTTAGAAATACAGGAGAAGGGAGTGTGGAAGCTGGGGTGCACAGCTTCTGTTATGCGTAGCCAGCACTTGCCTCTTGTGTACTCCTAAAAGGTCAGTGAACAAATGCATTGGAAAAAGTGACTTAAGGAAAATAAATTGCTGATGTTTTCAAAAGCAACGTTCTCTTTGTCTTAAGTTATTTAAAATACATCCTATTCCTCTCAGTGTGTGCTTTGCTAAGATGTATGTCTCCATTCCCACTTAAAATTTAGCAATGACCCAATATCTCAAAATCCAGATAATAATCTAAAATTTCAGGGACCAGACTCTTCAGCTAATGCATCCATCAGCCTATCTTCACTCATGGGAAGGGCTGAGTTACACCCCTCACATAGTCTGATCCCAGCTGTGTGTCTGGGATACCACACAGACCTAGAAATCTCAGAACAAATTTCAAGTTTTTTCAAGCCCTTGTAAGTATCCTTTGTCCTGTAATATCCCTCTGAAGTAAATGAAGAGGCACCTAAAGGGGAAAGAAGAATAACTTACTGGAAAGAGTCCAGCAAAATAGCTCTGTGATAGAGAAGAATATACCAAATAATTTATGTAACTGAATCTTTAAAAAGTAGGCTTGCCAATAATAAATAAGTCATTTCTTATAATGCTTGGTTTACAATGCTCCATGATTAGCTGCTGAATAATCATTTTGCCCTACTTATTTTTGAAAATACCCAGCCATAACCACAACATCAGAGCAGTGAATTCGAGCTGCAGGGGTTTGTGTTAAGAAAGCAAGGGGATGGTTAAATAATTGCAATGACCACACTGTTTTCACAGGTACAAAGCTGTTACAGATGCATGCTCTCTGCAGCCTGACATCGACTTACTACCATTTGGTGATCAGACAGAAATTGGAGAAAGGGTAAATAACACTAATCCTTTTTTATGTCTGCTTAGCCTACGGATTAGGAAGGTGCTCTTTGGTATCAGACAGATCTAATCTGTATTGGGCTGCCAGCCTGGTAAATAATTGTAATTCACCAGGGATTACTGCAAAAATAAAGTAAAAAATAATAGAAAACTTTTTTCCTTCTTCAGCTATTTCTCAAATGGGATTTTTTTGATCAAAGTCTACTATATTTTGCTTGCAGAATGTGATGCTAGTGTTGGTTGCATTTGTCAATCTAAGAAGCCTACTGTGCTTAGAGAAGCTCTTAATAATTTACACTTATCCACGATTAGTTGTTGAATAATCATTTTTCTTCTGATATTATATGAGGATTATACTTGTTTATCAACAGCATTAGCATTTTAACAAAGCTTTTTGTTTTTATTTGAACTTTGTATAATTCTATTTTTAAAAAAATCATATTTCCAAAGTCCTATCACAATGTTTATTCAGTGATGCATATTTCTGATCCTTTATACTCATTAGGGGATTAATTTAAGTGGTGGCCAGCGACAGAGAATCTGTGTAGCTCGAGCACTCTATCAGAACACCAACATTGTCTTCCTGGTAAGTTTTTTCTGTTTCCCATGGATCATGGAAAGTCAGTAATAAAACTGTCATTCCTTGTATTTAGCTTCAGGAAAAATTATGTTTATTTAGAAAACTATAGTGACTTTATTCAAATCCAAATCCAAATTAAAGACATAGGAAGTAAATTTCGACCAGAGGCAGCAACAAAACATCCTGGGAGATTGAAGAAGGTTGGGTTTGCTACAGAGATTAACACTGGAAGAGTAGAACAGATTGTCTAACTTCTGCTCACTCTCAGTACTGAGCCTCTTCAAAATTAACCAGGGACTTCTGTTCTTAAAAGCAGAAGAAGTTTACATATTAATATCTTTATCTGAATGTTGTCTTGTCACTGGTCACACTCACTCAAAGTGAAAACCAAGCACATCTATAGTTTAGTTTGGAGGAAATTAGAGCATTTCCTAACTTGGCTTTAACTGTCCTGTGTTGGTTTCCCATCAAAATTAGGCTCAAGCTTGGCTCTGGATCCTGGCATTTTCAAATCTGGATCAGAAATTTCAGTTCTGGTGTTCCTGATCAGGATTAATACACGCTATTAGTGTGGCACCAGCACTGCACACATCTAGACAAAAAAAATTCACTGGGTTTACTGCTATGAACTGAAGAGCAATGGATTCTAGCTCACTGTTTTGCAGTGCAGCCCTCTGACTAGGTCTTAGGCAGAGGGAGATGAAGCATTAATAATGGCAGATGCTTTCTATTTTTTAAAAACTTTTGAAAGAAACAAAACTGATTTTTGTATCCTCTTGTAATATTTTTTAATTTTATTTGGTTGCAGGATGACCCATTCTCTGCGCTGGATATTCACTTAAGTGATCATTTAATGCAGGAAGGGATTTTGAAGTTTCTGCAAGAAGACAAGAGGACTCTTGTTCTGGTGACACATAAGTTGCAGTATCTACCACATGCTGACTGGGTAAGAGAAGACATGCCATGACAAAGATTTGTTAAAGATGAACTTACACTTGAAGTTAGCACCATGACACTTAATGAAAAGACTCTTTTCCTCTGTAACAGAGTCCTTCTTTCTTAATTCTGTCTGTCCTGTGACTAACTGCCACTTCACATCATATGGATTTTATACTAAAAGGAACAATTTTATTTTAACATTATTTGTGTAGGTTTTTTGATTGAAAGACACTGGATAATTATGACTTAATTGCAAATATGACTACTACTTACTACGCCTTGCCTATGCTTTTAGAAGAAGGGTAAGCATGGCTCATAGAATTTTCAGTTTATAAGCTGTGTCAACAAACCTAAGTTATTAATAAGATATTGAAAAAAAATAACATAGAAATCTTCATAATGGAAATCTCATTAATACTGAGACACGTTTTGTAGATCCAGGTCAGTGATTATGGTATCTATGCTGCTGAGTAGACCTATCAGATGCTTTCTCCCCTAGATCATAGCAATGAAGGATGGAATGGTGCTTAGAGAAGGGACACTAAAGGATATCCAAAACAAGGATATCGAGCTATATGAACACTGGAAAACTCTGATGAATCGCCAAGATCAAGAACTGGAAAAGGTAAATAGGAGCATTTGGGCAAAGTTGCCCTTTCTGAAAAAATATATCTTTCAGTTAATTTATAAAAAAATCCAAACATGCCGGAAATCAAGATTTAAAATAGACATTAAGGATAAGCCACACAAACTGAAAGTAACTTTAAGGACTGGAATAGATTGTCTAGGAAGTGTGTGGTATGTCTGTCACAGGTGGTTTCTAAAAACACATTAGCCAAACACCCTTTTAAAATTCAGTGCAGAACTGGTCCCTTACTGGGGCAAGGGATGGACTAAGAGACTTCCTAAAGTATTTTTTAGCCCTTTAATCTGTTACTGCTGTGAGATTTCAGGATTCTTTAAAGACTATTTTTGAAGTTTTTATCATTCCAGAAGGCAGGGAATAAAATAATAGAAGAAAGAGAAAAGGAAGGAAGTGGACAAGGCAGGATTTTCTGAAAGATAAATCCTAAAATACTGTGCTTTTGCATTCTGTGAGCTAAATGATCCAAATAACATCTCTTTGAGGTTATTGTTGGTGCTGACATAGTGGCAGACAGCTAAGCTCTCAAACTAATAAATCTGTTTCCTTATTACAGGATATGGAAGCTGACCAGACTACTCTTGAAAGAAAAACTCTTAGAAGGGCTATGTACCCCAGAGAATCAAAATCACAACTAGAAGATGAAGATGAAGGTATGTTTTACCATTTCACTTTATTTACTCTATCCCCATGTTTCATTGCCTTTCCACTTGAATAGCTGGCAGTTCATAGCCATGATGTATGAACGTGTTGATGACACTTGATAATAACAGTGAAAAGTCCAATACTTTGACCTGTTTACAATATGACCTGTTTAAGGGATTCTCCAAACGTTGTGCAGGGATAAGGGTGTACCAAATCAAGTTAATTCCTTTGCTAACTCATACTGTCTGGAAGTTAGGAAGGGAGAGATAGAATTTAAGCAACAATAAGAAGAGTAAATAAAGCAAATTTAGGTAGCTCTGCCTAGTCATTGGCCAAATAATGTTAGATCACCTGTAGCCCTGTCCCTCATGAGATACCTCGTGAGATTCACAGAATGGTCTGTTCTGGGCTGAACCATGTGATAAAACTGGTAGCTATTTTCAGTTCACTTTTTGGAGTTAACCTGCTGTTTTTCTAGATGAGACTGTTTGTGGGAGAAGCTTTAGGCCTTGTTCTTAAGCTTAGCTTCTTGTTCTCCTCAGTTCTTGATGCTTTTACAGGTGCAGATTCAGATTAACATCACTTTAAAAGTGGGGCAGAGGGGCATAAAGGTTGGATATTGGCAGATAGCAACAAGACCCATCAAGAACATCTTTGTGATGTTAGACCAGGCCTAAAGGGAGTAGTGAGCCTTGGCAAGCAGTAAGTCTGTGCTAAGGAAGAGAAGAGGTGAACTTCACCTTAACTCAACAGGAGCACTAACTGAAGGAACTATCATGGCAATGTTGGCTGAAGTGACTGCAGAATGTACTCTGGCTATTAAGAGGTTCTTTATTGCTGCCTTGTGTTTCATCTGGCAATGCTCATGATGGACTGTCATCTTAAATTATAGGCCTGTGGGTCCTGTATTTCTCCCTTTTGAAGAGATTCCCAATCACTGTACAACAGGCAGAGCTAAATTTCAAAGCCCCTGAGATGGAAATATTTTGTTGGCTTCATACTTCTTTGGCAGAGCTGAGCAGAGCACCTCTTACTTATGTGCAGTCATCAGTACACTTTATCAGTTAAATTCTTGGAGGAATTTAAGATGAGATCATTCCCAAGCTCCTCCTTTTGGTCTGTGCAAGAAAGCCTTGCAAAAACCTCTGTATCTTCTTTGTGGGGTAAGATAGAAAACATAGGGGGAAAAAGACATGCTCATATAGTCCACAGAATTCCTGCAAAAAGCAAACATTCAGATCAAATCCACATATCAGTAACTTCAGAACAGAAATATAACCTGACATTACATTCTAAGTTATCTATAATTATTATGTGACCTAGGGAACGTACACAAATTCCCTGTGTCTCAAAAACTGTAGGATTACAACTTTGAAGAAATCAGTAATTCATTTTTAAAATTCAAAATCAGAAATGAGTGGAGTTGCTGTTAGTTCAGGGCTGTCAAGAAGAGGTCAATGTATCTCTTCCCCAAGTGCATATTCTTAGTACCTGGAAAAAAAAAAAAATTAAATGCCATGTTTATACCCCTATGAAATACATATTTCCCCTTAGCAGAAATTTTCTACCAATTATATTTGAGTATAATGTGAGCAACTATCATTTCATCTCACAAAACTTTAGTCCTCTTTTAAGAAGAGAAAATTGAATTCTTTCATGCAACAGATGACAAAGCCTCTGGATGGAAAGCTTTGGAGAGGCTTCTAAAATCTTCCATGTGACCTAAAATGCTCTGTTTACTGTGTAATAAAAAGCAGCTGAAGAGGCTGGGGAAAGCCTAACCTCTAAACAGCCAGTACTGAAGATCTGATTTACAAAAATATTTTATAAGCAAAATTGTAACAAATCAGAGACTGACAGTTTATAGAGTTGCTTGAAGAGCAGAGGGGAAGTCTTATGCAATATGTCTGAAGGGTTTGCTGGTTTTAAATTACAAAGTGAATTTTGCTGCTAAAAGTAAAATTCAAAACAAAACAAAACATCGACCAGATCCAGTAAACCCAGGTATAAATTTTAGTACTGAATCCAAGCTAACTTGATCAAATGTCTGAGTCACAGAGGAAGAAGAGGAAGAAGAAGAAGATGACAATATGTCAACTGTCTTGAGGCTCAGGACAAAGATGCCATGGAAAACCTGCTGGAGTTATCTAACCTCTGGAGGATTTTTCTTGCTCTTTCTGATGATTTTCTCAAAGCTGTTGAAACACTCAGTTATAGTGGCCATAGATTACTGGCTTGCTACGTGGACATCAAAGGACAATCCAAATGAAGTCAGGAGCACTGATGATAAGAGCACAAACAAGGTGGGCCATATCTTGGAGCTTGATGGGGGCAAAAAAAAATGATGGTCTAAAGTAATCATTTGCTGTTCATCCAGAAGCCAGCTACATTGGAAAAACAGATAGATATAGAAAGATTATTAGATAGAAAGGATGAATTGTTCATGAGAGAACATTAGACAGTTCAAATTTTACCAGTCTTTTCAAACATGCAAAAGTGGAACAGAAGCATATCTGAGGTTAGAAAAATTATTGACCTTTCAACGAAAGGCGTCTCATACTAAACTTTTCCATCTGGAGTCTTTAACACCTAAGTCATTGACCCCATTTTCCTAAGTACCAGTTGTCCAATAATGTCCTGCCAGGAAAAAAAAAAAAAAAAAGTCTTCAAAAATACTACTTAAAAACAATCTGCTAATAGCTGTAAATTTGACTCATATGCAAATATCACACTGGAATCCACTTTGTGAACTCTCAGAAGGCTTAAATGTGTTATAGCCCTGGCAGATTAGTTTAGGATTTGCTCTGGGAACTTTAGTAATGTTTGAACGTAATAAAGTGGAACTTGGCAACATCTCTCAAATGACTTTATTCTTGAGAGGTTCTGTTTTGGCTGTCTGAGTTTCTTGGCTGACAATTTGCATGCTTTTTTATTGTCCAGTTAGTCTTATCTTCACATTTCTAAATACTATCTCTTGAAGATCTCAAAGGGTACTCATCAGTAGGTTGAGAGATCTTAGAACTATCAGATCTTCTAATTATAGGAACTTAATTAATTTCAGTTCTGTCACATTACTTTTATGTCCCAAAGATTATATTAATATAATGATACAAAAAAATAATGTGGCATACAACCTGACTGGTACTGCATACGTTGAGAACTTCCTTGTGAAAGAGAGAAATGGGTATTTATTTCTAGGATTGATGTATCTGTCATTTTATTAGACTTATCATGTAGCTGTCTTCAGCATCCTCTCTGGAGCAGGGATTGTCCTTTGCCTTATCACATCTCTAACTGTGGAGTGGATGGGCCTCACAGCAGCCAAGAACCTACACCATAATCTCCTCAACAAGATCATCCTTGGACCCATCAGGTACAGCAAAAATAGCTTTCCTCCTGGAAAACTACATGGTCAAAACTCTGTCCTCTTTGTAATTGGGAAGGTACTACTGTGAAAAGCTCTTGTATTCACCCTGTTTCCTTCAAGGCCTCATAAAGTGGAAATAAGTAGTGAGGTAATCAGGGGGAAATCCAGGTCATCCAGCTCTAAGCAATGGGCATGGTGTCAGATGTGGAGGTCAAACCTGACTTCTTCTGTTGGCTGGGGACAGTTTTTGTGTAGAATAACCACAGTCTCTCACAGGACATCTCAGGAGGATGGCCAAAAGTTTGCCTGTGTAACAAATACAGCTATCACAGGGCTTTCATGGGATAACGGAGCCCTGGCCCCCAGTGCTATGCAGAAGGTTGAGTAGTGGCCAGGGACAGGCTGTGATCTTTGGAAAGGATCTTAAATCTTGAGGGAGTGTGGATGAAAGAGCAGGAGGCAAGGTGGTAGGTTTTTGGAAAAGGAGGCACAGAAGTTTAGGGAGAGGAAATGCCAGGAGAATCATTCAGGATGCAGACATTATGATTTGCTATGTTATTCATATTTACTAGTTGGTTTCAGAAAAAATGGATGGCCACAGCTCTGTGTTCTGTGTCACCAGACTTTTTACTCAAAACTGGAATCCCTTTTCAGATAACTTTCTTTTTTTTTTTCAATTTATTCAACAGGTTCTTCGATATGACTCCATTGGGGCTAATTCTAAATCGCTTCTCTGCTGATACAAATATCATTGATCAGGTAGATGTATCAATATATCCTGGTTTATTACATCTTGAGTGTGTAAATTTTCACTTAGCTACTAAATAAGCTAATGCTTTAAAATACTAAGTAGAGAAAAGTGTAGCAAAACCAGGCTCTGGGAATTATAATAGTCAAACTCCAAATAGAAAGTACATACATTTGTAGTAATGAGGGCAGGTAAACAATAGAATAAAAATAGTGGCTTTTAGTTTCTTCATATGCAGATACTGTTTGCTTCTGTTGAAAGATCTGGATTAGCAAAACACCAGATTCTGGGCTCAAAATATGAAAAAGGGGTAGAATATAATAACTATAAATACATGGGAGTACCTGCGACAAATTGATGTTCCCTGCTGGCTGTAGCATGTGAATTTAGAGCATTCAGGGAGAGGATGGGATGCTTTCACTATGACTGTAAATTAAAATGTTTGAATAAGCAATAATCTTGAATAATAATCTTGAATGGAAGGGTGATGGGAACATGGAAAGAAAGTTAAAAGGCTCTGAGACAGAGCATGCTGTTTCTCTAAATATTTGGGATATCTCAAACAATTTTCTCTTTCTTGCTTGTTATATAATATAAAATGGCTCCTACTTCCCCAAGACCTTTGAATCACTGACCTTTAGAAAAAAAAAAACAAACTACTGGCTCATTTTTAAATGTCTACACAGCTGAGTAGCACACCCACAGAAACATAAAGGCTCCTGTTATGAGAATATCAATGAGTGCACAGTGGTACCATTCCACTTTCCCCATGATCCTCTGTAGGAAAAGACAATACAGTGTTACTACTGATGATTTTTTTTTAATTTTATCTATGTTTCTTATTTCACTCTAGCACATTCCTCCTACGCTGGAGTCTCTTACTCGTTCCACCTTACTCTGCCTGTCAGCCATTGGAATGATCTCTTATGCCACCCCATGGTTCCTTGTTGCCCTCGTGCCTCTTGGGATAGCATTTTATTTCATCCAGAAATATTTCAGAGTTGCTTCCAAGTACGTATTAAAAAAAATGTCCTGAAAATTTCTGCTAAAAAAAAGTACACATATGAATTGTGATGGCATGTGAGGTTCTTGGAGGTAGTACAAGGAGGAAATGGCCATGGTGTCCTGCTTTTTATCCTGAGTTATGAGTTCGAAAGAGACATTGGAGGATTTTTCCAGTTGACCGACTACAAATGGGGTATTGGGGAAGTAACACTAGTTGCATCACTTTTGTATACTCTTGGCTGTAGAGTCAGAGGAGCATGTAGTTTGTTAATCAACAGAGTGAGCCTGCATCTGGTCAAAGCTCCTCTTTGACCTTTTGAGGGTTAGTAGAGAATGGAAAATTAATTCCTGGATTAATGTTACTCACGGCTTTTTCTTCATGTTGGGAAAAAAACTCCACAGAAAGTAATTTTCACTGTACTTCAGCATTTCATATCCACAAAGATTTGGCTGGTTATGAAGAGTGCCATTTTTCAACAACAACAAAAAAATGTGTCAGGATTTCTTAGAATCATGCTTCTAGTGCTAAATTAATTATATCATTTAATAAAACATCTCAAGCAAGCCATTAAAAGGTTTTTCTTAAGTTCAGTCAGTCATGCTGCTTCTTCTTCATCAGCCAGATTTCTGCTGCTGTTTTGTAGCATTCAGTTAAGAGAGATGGTAGTTTCCAGCTGAGTGTACCAGTACAGTTGGCTTCACAGGTAACACTCTTAGGTAGCCTAAGAAAGAACTGTGTCAGTTATTCCCTTTAAATCAATGGAGCAGGAAGGGCACAGAGCAACATATCAATAATTTAGCTTCACTTTACCCTACTTTTCCTCTGCTTTCCTTGGATATTTATTCATAAAAAACTCTATAATCAGTATTCACAAAACAAAACTGTTTAATTCAGAAATAATTTGCTTAAATTCTCTGAACTTTTACAGAAATATTGTTCTTTCATCTTGTTCTTTCCCCAGCAGGTTTTCAAACTAAGGCTGTATGTGGCAGTACAAAAGGTCTCAAGGTGGCTGAGAAATCAGAAGACGTGGGTTTAGTTCTTAAATCCACTGTGGTCTTCTGAGTGTCACCTTGTCTTGCTACACATAGTAGTGTACACTGTGTAAACTCCTTACTTAAAATACACAAGTAGGCAAAATGTGATGTATTAGACCTCAAGTAAATATTACAGTTTCTCTCTGTATTTATATGTGAGAGTAAAGGCTGTACCCACCTCCAAACCTGGTTTTCCCACATGCTGTACCAATAGCCATATCATCTACACTAACAAGAGGTTGATCACCCCTGCAAGTCAGCACACATACACTTGCACCCACTGGCTCTGCAAATCCATAACTACCTCATTCATTTTAGTCCTTTACTGTTTTCTGGGAAAATATGTATCAGCAAGTTCTTCTTCTTTTTTTTTTTTTTTCCAAATCTGTTTAAATTAAACTCTTTTAAATCATTTGTGAAGCATGCAAAGTTGACTTGTGTTCTTTCAATCCACAACAGACACTAATAAATACAATTTATTTCTATTAAAAATGAAGGAACAGCTGCAGCCACTATTTATCATTTACTTGCATGCAGTACTTTCCAGGCATATAAGCTTCACTAATTTTTAGAAATGAAAATATTTACAGTATTTCTTGCAGCACTTTGACCCTTTGTTGTATTTTCCATTACGTCCCTCAAAAAATTCTGTGTATTTTCCATCATTAATTTGAAAGAGAGCATATTTATTATCAAAACATGAGCAGCAAATTCAGTTCTGTACACTGTAACATTCAGCATCATGGAGCAGTTATTTCTCCTGGCCTATCTAATACAGTCTGCAAACATAGTAGGATTTTAATAAAGAGTTTAAATATCTAATGATCTGGCCTCTCTTCTGTTTATACAACTGGCTGCTATGCCAATGTCAGTGTTACAGAAAGATGGATTTATCTTTGTGGTTTGGCCAACATTCCTGTTTCAGAGGACTGGAACTTTTTAGACTTACTTATCATTGCTCCCTGCAGGTCTTGAAAATACTATTGCTGAATAACTGAGGAACTTTCTCATTCATGTTATTTCTCTGTCAATGCTGTCTCTATTTCAACCAGTGTTATAATGTTAACACTACAGATAGATGGTCAAATAAATGTAGTCTGTTATATTCTATGTTCAGCATGTTGGGGTACTTACAGATACTAAAAAAGAGGAAAAGCTTATATGGAAGGCACCCTTTTTGTTAAGCCAGCTGATACAGTTGCAATAAAATAGATAAACTTGCAGATCCACAAAATCTATTTTACATCTCATGTAAGAGACACAAATAACATGCTATAAAGTTTAAAATATCTGTTCTGAATTTAATGATATTAATGCATTAGTATGTTTCAGAATAGAAGGTAATGAGGATCTGGCTAAAATAGTGGGTTTTTCTCCATGAGAGACATGATAATGTCATTATTACTGTGGGACAAAGAGGAGCTTAGCTGTGACCAAAAGCTGGTTTGTGGAGGTGGCTGGGAAACGATTCCAAGGCTCCTATGGGAAAAGAGAAATGTGATATTCCCACATCAGTGTCTTTCTATACTATAGAAATACTATTTTGTGTGATCTGGGAAAGAATATGTGCAATGCATAAAAAGTCTGTTCTTGTCTGTTAGGCAGTAAAATTTCTACAAACAGAGGTGTTTACGTTGTAATGGCTGTCTGTTGGTTTTTGTACACCCAGGGACCTCCAGGAACTCGATGACAGCACCCAGCTCCCTTTATTGTGTCACTTCTCTGAGACAGCTGAAGGCCTTACCACCATCAGAGCCTTCAGGTCAGTAAAACAAATTATTAGAGAGAGGTTTTGGTCTGACCCATGCAGCTTGCTTGGAGCATATCTGAGGGCAAAATGCTGAATTTGGTGGACTTTTTAATTAAGCCAAATCAAAAAAGGAAAGAGATTTTGTTTTCCTGTTGCTTTGCCATGGCTCTAAACACAGTAACTATCAATAACACAATAATTTATCTATATTGGTTTTTCAATGAATTAAAGGTGATGATTTTTTTTTAGGATGGGATATGTAAATTTCTAAAGTGTCTTGTTGAACTATTCCTAACTTGGACAGCAGGAAGGTCTCCTTTGCTGGGCAGGCACACACATCACACCTTCAGACCCCTCTGCTATATCCTACAAGATGTGCTATCCAAGTGTCCCTGAACCATTTCTGCATTTAACCCATTCTTAAAGGCAGGGAAACTTCATTATAGCACTTCCCAACTGAAAGTTAGTATGCAACTTGAGAGACTTCCCAAGAAAACTACAGCAGAGCAGAACTTCACCTTAATATTGTAAAACTTAGTCTTGTCAATCAAAACTGCAAAATAGATTCCAGAAGTTCTGGAAAATTTTTCCGATTTCCCAAGCATATCTTTTTTTTAACTACTTGGTACATGAAATACAGGCCAAATTCTCCTTGTATATTCACTGCCTCATAGCTAGCATGACTCTGTCAAAGTGCTAGGTTGATGTTGCTCTCCAGTAATTGCAGTGAGGAGACAGTGCAGATCTCACTGCAATGCTATTTACACACCTATTTCATCAGCTTAAGACTGTTTCATCACTTTGATCTAGCTTTAGGACCTGGCTTATTGGTACAGAGTACTGTGGTATAAGACTGTGGCAGCACAAGCCAAAACATTGCTGTGTTGAAGTGATGTGAGCCAGTGGTCACCAAGAAGTGTTTTAACAAGTTTTATCTACCAGGATGATGCACTGAAAGAATATGTCATAATTAAGGCCTGATTCTGGTGTATGCTTCTTGTGAGGTTCAGAGTGGCCTTTCATCACATTATCTCCTGAGAAAGATGAAGGAGCTTAGCACTTCTTGGGAGTGGTTCAACTCTTCTGTAGTGTGCAAAAAGGCAAGGTGGGCTTTGATGGCAGAGAGCAAAATGCAGTCCCTGGGGACTAACTAGACATCATAACCATCACGTGCATTTTCCAGGGCCTCTAGTGCTAAACAAATCCATTCCATTTCCCCATCTGTGCTCTGCTGTTGACCAAACCTGAAGTCTCCAGTGGATTTTGTCAGCAAGCTCTTATTTACTAATAGTCCTGTTAGTCATTCCCTGCAGTCTGAGTTCAGTATATTCCAGGATAAAACAGAGCAGCTCCTCATATAACTTACTGCAAAGTAGTACAGTTGGATCAGAAAGCAATTTCAGTGACATTTGCTGTTTGTCCTCTGACAGGATAAAAGTCTAAAACTGCCCAGAAGATGAGCTGGATGGGGATGAAAAGATACAGACTGAGCATGTCATATTTTCCATTAGGAAAACAGGGGTTTTGCTGCCAGAAAGGCAGACAAGCAGAATAGCTGGTGCATCTTTGCTCCTGCCCACGTCATTAGAGTTACCAGTTGTTCTGGGGAGGTTGCTTGCCATGTTTACAAGGGCAGAGGGAAAAGGAACAGAAAAAAAAGAAAAAATTCTGGCAGAACAAGGGTTACAGGTGCTTCACAGCAGGGCCCTGAGACTTTAAAATATAAGAGCTTGCTGGGATAAAACAGACAATAAGCTACTGAATGAAGTCCAGTTAATTTATTTGAGTGATGCTATTTAACAGACAGTAGAACGTGAAAAAAAAAATGGTTTTCATCTGACTGCAGGACATATCCAGAGCACTGCAAAGCACCATGAATTTAATACCAGCAGATTTCTCCCTCTCCTCTCAGAGTGTACCTCAGCTCTTAGGCACCCTGATGTCCCTGTGTTGGTTTTAAAATGTGACAGGCATGACGTAGGGGAGAGGAACAAGTGACAGTGGAGGTAACACTGCTCATTTTTGTAATTCAGAAGTGGTGTATAGCTCTCCCTCGTTGTAGTTTCCTGAGTTGCTTAGGCAGTGTCTGAGAAAACATGTCTGGCTGAGAAAACAGCTGAGCTGAGTAGCTGAAAGGTATTGATCTACTGACCAATCTAGAGTCTACACCAGCTGGAGCCTTAGAGATGTCAGTCCTCTTGAAGGCTCCTGCAGCTGGCCAGGTAACTTCTGAGATCAGGTTTTAAGCTGACAGGTGAGCTGTTTGCTCTTGCCAGTGGCTTGTGAGGAAGATGTGGGGGGTCACAGCAGCACTCACTTCATTACACATGGAGCTCTGCCTCATTCAGGAGAGACCTGGCTGCAGGAATGAGTCCTTAGGGAAGAGCTTTTAACCCAAAGTTGGGTAAAAGCAGAAGAGCAAAAAGTTTTGCTTTAGGGGGATAGGAGGGAGAGAAGAGTTTAACGTTTCATCCTTTTGGGTATGTGTGTGTTGTGTGTTGTGTGTTGTAACAGAACAACTTTGCTCTTGGCAGGCACGAAGCCAGGTTTAAACAACGTATGCTGGAACTCACGGACACGAACAACATTGCCTACTTATTTCTGTCAGCTGCCAACAGATGGCTGGAGGTCAGGACGGTACGTTCAGTTTCATCCCAGCCACAGTTTTGAAACCTTGGAAGCAAACTGAGACTTTGCCTGATGCAGAGAAGATAATGAGGAGAATTAATCTCATGATGAGATTATACACGCTGTTCCTTAAAATAGCTTGGCGTTGTTTATGGTAAACCCATAGGCTCTTTTCAGCTTTCTTGGCCAGGAGTAGGAAAATACAAGCCTCCCTCAGCTTTTGCTGTTCTGATGTCTAGCATCTGAAGAGAGCACAAGAGCAAACATTTCACATAACTTGAAATAAAACTTTGTCTACTACTGCGCACCATCTGCGGACCTGCTGCACAGGGACTGCTTTTTGTGACTTGTCCCATCGTTCTGCCAGGGCTGGTTTAGGCACCACTGAGCTTCCAGGTCCTGAACTATTACTCCAGCAACAGATTTAATCCCACAGCTGTAATTTAAACCCCCTCTTTGCAGTGCCCTCACTGCAGTTGTGATTTTGCTGTTCAGTATCAGAAAGGATGGCAGAACTAGAGTCCAGCTGAAAATCAAATGACAGTAGGGCACAACACAGCCACTGCCAGTGCGACAGGCTCCTGGCTTTCTCAGGGGCTCTCCAGGGACAGCCCATGAGGAACTTTCCTGATCTGCAAGGCAAGAAGAGGCAAGCGAAGTCACTGTGATTTACTGATTCACCTAACACTGAAAGAGCAGTGCATAAACAGAGCAGTGACCTGATTCTGCTAGACATGAATAGTAACAGGCATGATTAATCCTCACCTTCATTTCTTGGTATGCTGGTGGAGCAAGAAAGTTGAGCCCCATTTCTTATGATGGCAAAGCTTACCCTTGTGCATGAAGCTTTCAGCTTCCTACAGCATCTAAGATCAAGCTGAACTTGCTTCCAAATCAAAGACAGAAAAATAACAAAGCAACAGCCAGTCCTGGAACAAGCTGTGGCAATGACTGTTAAAGTCTTACAGTCTTAGACTTGCTTACATGTGGAATGAAAGCACCTCTTTCCTCATAGCCTTAGAAATAATGTGGTCATACCAAGGAATAGTTAATTTAGCTCTGCCTAATGGCACAGTGATACTAAAATCACTCAAAAGCTCATCAAATGTTATAGCAAACTGTGAAGTTCTGTCCCAGCTGCTGATGGAGGCTCGAGACCATTGTGTTGCTTCTTCCCTCTAGATGTTGAGTCTGTCACCTGCTCATCAATACTTTTTACAGACAGATGAACTAGGCAGCCCTCATTTCAAAGCTCAGAAGGAAAGACTCCAGGCAGGATATCAACAGACAGAGGGGAAAAAAAATGGATGGAAAATGCTAACCCTGTAATCCAAAATAAATACAATGCAGGGAGCAGTGGGAGAGTGGGAATACCAGCAGTCTCATGAATCAGGCACCTTGACAACTACATGAGATCACACGTGGCATTCATTTCAAAACTGAAATGAACACATCAAGAAGATAAGTTCAAGTCAGATCTTTCTAATACAGCCTTATACAGCAATTTCTGTAAAGCAAGTCATCACCATGCAACAAAGCTGGGACCCTTCAGGTGTCTACCACAGTAACCCTCTGAAACTCAAAGTGCTGTGGCAAAAGCAAGGCTTGGCAGGCTATTTGCAGCACCACAACTACACAGCTATACTGCCTTCAAATTCCACACTGCCAACATCCACGTGGTGTTTTGCTGTGAGTGTATAGCAGGCTCAGGGATGCCTTCAACCATGCGTAGTGTCCCATTGCATGATGTAGACACTATATGTCAATCTGCCCACTTGTGCCAAGGAAACCTCCACGACCTGTATAAATTCTCCCAAAATTCTTCATGGCCTTCATGAAGTCATGGACACTTCACTTTTTCAGGGAGGCAACCCCAAGGGCAGTGGAGGAAGTGGAATTGATCTGTTTTCGTGGTAGGAATTAGGGGTGTCATTGTTATGACACTCATGATTTTTTTTTTATGTTCTCATTAAATCTTTTGATACCTGCTCTCATTGAAGTGACCACAATGAGATGCTGTAGCCCAAATGGATCTGCAGAAAATACTGGCCTGTCTCACTTGTGTTCAGCAAGTTCCTTTAGAGTGTTTCAAGCTGGGCACCACAACCTCATACCTTTGCCAGGAAAAACAAACCAGAATTAAAGACTAGGTCTCCTTATAAAAATAATGTCCCTGTGATAAAACTTACCCTCATTAAATCAAACCTGCTTCGCAACCCAAGAAATTTTCTTGTTGCCTAGAAACTTTCTCTCCCCCTCTCTCTTGTTGCAGGATTACCTTGGTGCTTGTATAGTTCTGACTGCAGCTGTCACTTCCATCACTGAAGGACCTAACTCAGGGTTTGTGGGGTTAGGTCTCCTCTACGCCCTGACGGTACGTACCAAGGCAAAGAGTAAAAACTTTCAGACCAAGGTATTAACTTTATCATATTTTTTTTTTAAAAAAAAAAAATACATGTACATGGTTATCTTCCAGCTTTCTTAATCTTGAAAAAAAAAAAAAAAATCTTGCAAATAATGGATTTGAGCCAAAGTCGAGAGAGTTCAGGGCAACTTGGACTTGCTTCAGGTTTTATGAGCCAATTAAAAAAACAGAACCATTCCCAGGCCCCGAGTGCTCCCAAGGAGAGCAGGAAAATTAAAAGTGCGTAAGAGGACCTGCTGTGTACTCTGCTTTGCACAACGTGGTGTTGGTCCTCTCTGTATATGGCAAAACCTGCCAGAAAATAGCACTCCACAAACTGTCATAGCGTGGGTAATCTTTAACGAAAGACCAAATAAGAGAACCAGAAATACCTGTTTTGCCTTCGGAGGGAAACTATTTGGGTGCCAAATATTGTCCGTGCAATTCCTCATGGATCTGAGTATTCAAACCTTTAAGGCTGGTAGGCATGGTTCATCCTGACAGCTAGGAAAGCAGAGGAGATGGGGATAAGAAGGACAAGATTTTTGTAGCATGCTAGCCAATTCATTTTGACACTATTGTTAGTTATTTGAGCTGAGTCGTGGAGAACAAATAGTGTTTCAGTCTATCAGACTGTAAGAGAGGCTGAGAGTGCATCATGAACCCAGAGTGAGTACAATCACCACAGAGAGTGGGAGTATCACTGAATTAACCATGAGAGTGGGGACAAAGGCAGGATGAGGATAGTGGCAGGAAGAATTTTTGAATCCATGATTGGCATGGCAAACATTCTGGCTGCTTTACAGCACTGGGTTGAGGGAGGGATGTGGATATGGGTCTAACACCAAGATCTGGCTTTGCACAGAAATGATGGCAAGCTCATTGTTACAACAGAAAGTTCTCAACAGCTGCCTTAGGATGGCCTTAGATCCCCTTCGTGCCACTGTTGCAGCAGTATGAGAATCTGCCCGCAACTGAGAATCAGTCCCAGTGCTTCAGCTTCACTCTGAAAACATTCCTGGTAATCCTGCTTCATTAGCAGAGCTCTGGAAGCGCCAGGATGTCTGCATCATCTTTGGCTTCTTCACATTCAGTCTGTGTTTGCAAACAGATCATTAGTGTAAGTTAGCCATGTGCTAACTTGCATAAAGCAAGTATTAAGTTAGTGGAAAAGAAATGGGGCTGGGGGATTTATTCATAATAAAGTTCTTCTTTGACAGGTTCAGCAATTTCCCACAAATAAAAGGCAAAAACTTTCTCAGAATATGTACAGGATGTTTTCACTGTGTTAAGTTTCTAAATCTTTATTCAGGTATGTAAAGTATTTCAAATTTTAAAGGTGCTCAACAATCAACTGTTCCTAATATGATCAGCTTTTCTTTTTTGTATGAGCACCTTAATACACACTTAGGAACATTTAGGAAGTGTTTAGGAAGTTGCTTTAAAATTTTCAGCCTCAAATAGACAGTACTGACTAGTGATCAGTTTGTATAAGCTACTGGTATTATTAGGCAACTAATTATCAACTATTACCTCCTAGGAGTAATACCTTCTCTATTGATAAATCTTTTTCATTACAAATGGGAACAAAAACCAAGAAGAAAATATTACTGAGCTGATAATACATTTTTCCTCATACATTTCTCTGCTAAAACCCCCTCACATTTTCCAGAGAAATGAATTCTCTAAATATGCACAGACAGAAACAGAAATTAAATGCCCATGAAATCTTTTCAATGCATCTGCAAATAGGGAACTTTCTTCATGCTTAGTTGCTGTCTTTCAAAGATTAGAAAATGTAATAACTCCAAACAGCACTTCCAATTTTGATTATTTGGTGTGTTTGTGTGCTTAGAGAAGATGCCTTTCAGTACTGATTGCTGGATGCTGAGAACAAGAGATTCCCTTAAACAGTCACACCTTCAGACTGTAGGTATAATATTCCCATAGTTCTTAAAAAAAACAAGTATGAGAATGCTGAGCACTAAATTACTATGTCAGGGTTCTTTGTGTTGGAGTATAGCTGGCTTATTATGAATTTGTCTCTTATTAGTCACTGTGTCTTGAACTGTTGTAACATCAAGAAGAGACCCACCGTGCTGAGTGACGACAATGACTTTCTAAATTTATTTGCAAACAGGTAGAAACTTTATTCACAAAGAATGAGATGATCAGACAGAAGGCTGAACCCTGTTGTTGTTTCCATTTTGTGATGCAGATAACCAACTATCTGAACTGGGTGGTGAGGAATCTGGCTGATCTGGAGGTGCAGATGGGTGCAGTAAAAAAAGTCCACAGCTTCCTGAACATGGAGTCCGAGAACTATGACGGCTGCTTGGGTACTGCACTCTAATCTTTTTGGGGTTTTATTGTGGTGATATGAAAGCATGGTGGACTTGGTCATGCAAAATGTGTACGCTTCTTTGGCCAAAATCTGTTCTCATTGATGTGTAGGAATTCCCATTCCTGTGAATGACAAGGACAGCAAAAAGCAGCTATGAGACATGTAGCCCATGCTAGTCAACATAAAAAAAACAATCCTACCAAATGCCAGGGAGACAGAGCATGGTCCTGTAGCACAATCAGAAAGTACCAGAACACAGTTCGAGATGGGATGAACAAAATGTCCATGCAGCTATTTAGAAAATGAAAATATGGATAAAAATTAGAAATGCACCATCAGTCACATGCTTTGACATCATTGATGTTTGCAGCAAATGAGGACTACAGGACAGGGTCACGCTGGTAATCAGACATCAGCAACTCTCCCCTGAATGGCACATTGGTGTTTTAATCCACATATTTCAAACTGGCTTTGATGGGTATTTTAGAAGTGCTTAAAATTTAAGACCAAAAAGGCTCACAGGTCAGCAGGCTTCCCTGGAATGCCAAGCCCCTTAGTCCAGAGACAAAACCTGTATAAAACTGTGTATTTGCAAATCAGGACAAAATACAAGCTATGATAATCTTATGTTGCACGGGAGTAACATCCCCCTTCCCAGCACTGCCCTTCCTGTACTGGTTACTGACCAAAGAGCACATTAACACTGTGAAGACACCACGTTCTTCTCTGCTCCTTTGGCTTCTCCCCATTTCACTGCCAAGAGACACTTTAGGATCTGCCCTCTCTTCTTGCATGCCAAGATCTGGAAGCTGAGTGCTAACGTGCTTGCTTAGGCAGTTCCCAGCTCTGCCTTGGCAGTGAACTGGGGCTCTGTTTCTTGAGTGGCTTCAGGAAGGAGCTCAGGCAGGAGAGAGAGGAAAAGGGGAATGTCATAAAGGGTGACCCTCTGCTAGCATTCATTTTGGATTGTTTTTCTGTAACTATTTCAGATCCCTCTCAAGTCCCCAAAGACTGGCCCCAGGAGGGAGAAATCAAGATTGAAAATTTGTGTGTTCGATATGAAAACAACCTGAAGCCTGTTCTCAAGCATGTGAAGGCATACATCAAACCAGGACAAAAGGTACCGTGTCAAGTAACTTCCTACCATCCTCATTCTGGAGCAGATCCTTCCTTATTGTGTTTTATTTTCTAAGGCAGCAGAAGAGCAAGAATAACAATTTGCAGTGACAGCTATATACATTGATGGTCCTCTCTGAGGTCACTGGGCATGGGTCAAGAAATTTGCACTGATGAAATTTTAGTCTTGGCTAGAATCAGTTTTCCTTCTGAGAGTCTCACTTCTTTCCATGTCCATCTCCCTTGCATAGATTGAACCTAGGTGGCCAGATAACATTGAATGAACACCAGACTGGAACTGAGTAAAAATGCAAGAATATCTCACACTTCAGCATATAGTGGCACTTGAGTTCAGGTCAAAATGCTGAAGTTCCAAAAATTTTCCTGGGACAAGTCCTCACGATGTTGAGAGGCACAAAAGATGAATGTGCTTGCAGAGGTGTTTTGTTATTTTTCTCTGGTCTACCACCAGCCATTGGAAAGGACCTTTCTACTCACCAGTAGGGCAATCCAGTCTAGCTTTCCCAACAGGACTACAAGTCTGTTTCTGGATTCCCTCTCTAAGTGAGTAACATTTTGCTTTCCTCTGCAGGTTGGAATCTGTGGCCGTACTGGCAGTGGCAAGTCATCCCTGTCTTTGGCATTCTTCAGAATGGTGGACATATTTGATGGTCAGTTTTCACTGAAGTATGTTGTCACTCCTGACCTGCTCCCCCCTTATTTTCAGAGGAAGCAAGGAGGTTTCTTTTCAGTTTGTATCCTGGCTCTGTGACTCAGAAGATACTTGATCAGAATGAGCCTTGTTGTGCGTGATCCTTCAACGTACAAAGTGTCCTTTTGCAAGCAGCACTTGGTTCTTCCAGGAAATGTTACAAGTAGATTATGCTTCTAATTTTTTAAGTTTTTTTCCTCTGTGTGTGTGTATATGCTCTGAAAAAACAATATGCCATTTTTGAGATGAGAGGAAAAAATACACTGCTCTCTGGAGCCTCTAAATTTCTCCCTAAAGAATAACTGCATTAATTTATGATAGTTGTCAACAATATTAGCAAAATAGAAACTAGAACTCAACAAGTCCATTCCCTTGATATTTGTTCTTTATTTTATTGTGGTTTCCCACAACTACAGGAGAAATTGAGTTAAGGCTTTGGAAACATTTTACTGTCTTTTTACTCCTGCAGCATTTCACTTTCACAGCTAATTGGCATGAACTGGTATGTGGCAATAGGCACCCTGGCATTTCTAATACATATACATGTGTACTGTTCTGGAAATAGGGAAGCCTACTGGAAAGTCATCTTTTTTTTGCTTCAAAGATTTCCATGTTCCAAACTCAGCCATTGCACATGGAACGTTTGCTGGAGAAACCTCATTAGGATGTGGGAGGATAAGTAAATCTGATGCAGCTACTACTTGCTTTTGTTGTGATTCTATGCCTATAGGTATCTATGGCAATAGGCTTCTGATTGATGAGCAAGATTCCTGGATATATAAATAGTGCAAACAAATAATAATAATGTTCATGGCCAACTTTAAGTTTCCTTCTACTTTAATCTTCTTTCTGTAGCCTTTCTTTATCCATTCCTTCTGTATACATGATTTTCCCCAATGGGAATCCTTAAGTCTTTTCTAATCAAGCTCTGTGTATCCTTTGTGCACATCCCTCTCCCTCTCAGCTAGACCCATATTTGGCCTCTCTGCTGGTGCACTTCTGGGTGGAGTCCTGGCTTTACTAAAAATTGCATAACAAGAATTTGAGCACCTTTACTAAGAGCCAAGATTTCATTCATGTTATCCATCTTGGTTCCTTATGTCTGTTGTTTCTTTAAATTTGTATGTGTTCCATTTTATTCTGCTACTCTCACTCCTTTCTTTATTCCTTAGTGTTTTCCTTTTCTTGCCCTCTGTTGAAACTACCTCTCATTTCTCTTCTGTCTTGCTTGGCTGCCCCTCAAACTTTCCCACTTTCTCAACTTCTCTCTAATTTTTTCCTAAGGTCTCCTAATGTGCTCTTTTCTTTTCCTTGAGCACCCTGGCTTCTATCAAAAATGCATTCCCCTATTCCCAAGGCATGCCATATCAATTTGTTTTTCATTAGTCCACCTCATCTTCTGCTAACCCTCTTTCATGTCCTCATTTGTGAAGAAAAGGAATTGCTTAAGTTTATGCAACCACTGACGTCTCATGGTGAAGTCTTAAGACCTGATTCAGACTTTCTGAAAGTCAGAAAACAATTGGACTTTGCATCCTAGAGATGAAATCGTGTTTCCTTTGACCGTCTAATGAAAAACTATTGGCAATCCAGCAAGGTGGAGATGAAGTCTTTGGTTGGAATAGGGCCACACAGAGTAACCTACAAAATGCAGTATCATGACAACTGGCAGTGACAGAAGAGGTGTATGTGCATAGCTTTGAATATCCATGCATTTGCCAGTTCTTGATTAGGTTCTCACTGCTGGGAGTGAGAACTGATGAACTTAATGTTTGGTACTTGCCAAGGAGCAGTGCAGCCGCACAGTGAAGTAAGCCACAGGGAAACTGCAGAAACGAGCCCGATGAAAATCCCCCTGACCATACCCTCACCCAGTTTGCCCTATCCCACCCCTTCCCCATAACCTGGAGGAAGTTTCTGTTCTGGAAAATTCAGTGGGGTCAGTAGTTCCTGGCTTTTGTTTGAGGATTCAAGGAATGAGATTCCTTCCACCCTTCTCACTCTCTTCTACTTACAGAGCAGCCAACCAGTTTCTCTTGCACATTTCACCCATCTCCCTTGACTAAATATCAGCAGTTGCCACATCCAGCACATCATAAATCAGATTTTCAGATGAGATCCATATGCTCATTGACCTAAAGTAGTGACTAGGAAAGGAAAAATCCTCTTAACTTCACCAAGTATCTCAGCTGTTGCAGCAACTTCTTGTCAAGCAATGAACTACTAGGTTAAGGAGTGATTAATGTGACTGCTTCCAGTAATCTTATGCTAGGAGAACAGTATGTGGCTAATGCACAACCAAATACTCAAATGAAACCGAGCTGTAGGAACCAGCATGAGCAGTACTAAAATGCCTTGCAGTAGGACATCCTTTTTGTTTTTCTGACCTGCCTCTTGTTAAAAAAGTTAATGCTACACCATTCCTTCTGTAGTCTGGAGAATAGTTTTGTATGTATGGATTGCACATACATACATATTATACAAAAGAAATTGTGCACTATCTCAAATGAAATGTCTTCCTCAACTGCTAAAGTCAAGGGGAAGAGAGAAAGGCACAGGACATGGCTAATTACATAACTTGCTCTTGTTCTCACCCTGTTTGGCTGTAAAGGTCAGGTTGCCCCATAATAAATTATCCTTCTGGTGCTATCATTGATCACATCACATGGAAGCCAACCATTTTCTTTAAGGGAAGGTGGGGGTGAGGGGAAAGAAAGAGCAAGGCAACAGCATCACTAAAAAGTTGTAAAGCTGGGTTCCCTCTGGCTTAGATTATTACATAGATTCACCTTCCTGAATGTCTCACATGACACTGCTGAGAGGTTGAGAGGTGAGCTGCCTCATCCCCTGCAGTCCAGCCCAAACAAGCTGGTTTATCCATCTGTCTGCTACCTACAGATCACATGCTTTGTGCAATTCCCTCACACAACTTCTGCATGCTCTTTTAAAAAGGGAGGATAGTGATTGATGGAATAGACATCAGCAAACTGCCTCTTCACACCCTCCGCTCCCGACTCTCCATCATTCTTCAGGATCCAATATTGTTCAGTGGCTCTATCCGGTAAGTGTGTGCCAGGAGGGGGTGACAAGCAGCATGGCATGGTGTGGTTGTGACAGGCACTGTGGAACAGGAAGGGATGGAAAAGGGAAAGAGCCTTCCTAGCTCAGTCCAATCTATCAACACAGTCTGTCCAAGGGAAGTCAGGTGAGATCCACAACGCCAAAATTCATGTCCCTTTGTAGAAGACCTAAATGAACTGTAATTTCAGTAACAAGACTCCTGGTATGGTTTTCTTTTCAGCTTCAATTTGGATCCAGAATGCAAGTGTACCGACGATAGGCTCTGGGAAGCTTTGGAGATTGCTCAGTTGAAGAACATGGTCAAGTCATTGCCAGGAGGCCTTGGTATGTCTGAAGCAAGTCTGTGGAAACAGGCACATAATGAAATTATGGATATAAAAAGATACATGGGACCTTACACTCTGAACTATCATGTAGGAGTTGATAGGCACCTAAAAAATATGCTATGTCTATGTTAGAGAGAATATTCTTACTAGAATGCTGAAGAGTAGTCTGGTTTTCAACTCATTGCAGAAAAATAGTAATCAGAAAAGAGTTAAAAAAGAGCACTTTTACTCTTCAGCAGAATCTGGCTCTGCCAGCAGAGCTGTAGCTCTTGTCTAGAACACTGGTAGAGCATTTCCCCTGTCATTTCATATCTGGTTCATGAAGGAAACTCATTTTTTCTTCCATATTAAGTGTATTTTGTATTACTAGGATATAGTCCCGCAGTCTACCCAATTTGCTAACTATTTTTGCCAGCTGTTTGCTTAATAATATAGTGTTCCTTTCCCAAGAAGCTGTGCTCACTTTTTTTGGTATCACTCCATTCCAGTGTTTAGTCAAGATTATGCTGGTTGGCTTTTACAGGGATTTTTCTTTACCCTGGACTAGTACACAGAGAGCACTTCAGTGGTGCAACAGTCAAAGTAACTGGTTTTATTACAGATGCGATGGTCACAGAAGGAGGAGAGAACTTCAGTGTAGGGCAAAGGCAGCTCTTCTGTCTGGCCAGAGCCTTTGTCCGCAAGAGCAGCATTCTCATCATGGATGAGGCCACAGCATCTATTGACATGGCCACAGTGAGTAGAGCAATCAGCACTAGCAATGCATGGATCTACTAGGACAAGAGGCATGTGTCAACCCTACGTGTCAACCATGAGATCTCTTTAGCAGAAGAAAAAGGACGTCGGTTTTAGCTCTTCTCTTGTGTTTGGTTTCAGCTCTTGCTGTTGATGTGTTTTGGGGACTGATGCCTATGGGGAGGGGTAAAAAAAAAGGCAAAATGTTTTAGCAAATCCCTGCTTTCACAGGTGTGGCATTTCATTATTGAGAATCTGGTGCGTAGATCGGAGATAATACGAAGCATGATCCTCTTGTTTACGTACTTGAAGCCACATGAATTAAAATGTAAAAATATTAACTGCAGTAAACCTTCCCTTTTGACAGGAGAACATTTTGCAGAAGGTTGTGATGACTGCCTTTGCAGACCGCACCGTGGTGACCATAGCGGTAAGCGTAGACACCAGCAAGTGCCCTTTCCTCACTCCTCAGGCAGCTGCTCTTGCCTTGCACCAGCTAAAGATCACCATACAAAACTAAAACTATCACAAAATAGAACTAAAACACAAGGTCAGAACATTCCCAGTTACTAGAAGAAGTTAAGACACATATTATTTACCTGAAATTTTGCAATAAGTGTTATCTTCTTACCAAGTGAGCCAAGCTAAACCACCTAGATCTGGAGAAGGACTTTGCACTGAACTTCAGGATCTACACATTTTTGAAGAAAATTTGAAGTCATTCTCACTAAAATATTGAAACCAAACCCATGTATTAAATCATTATTGAAATTTGCACCAACATCTAGGTTTGAATTTTGCCTCTGAAGTCTATGCATAGTGTCTACAATCATAGCATGAATTTATAAAAGCAGATGAAATTTCATAATCTTTTTGGTGTGGTCTCTCAAGTTGGGTTATCATTTCTTTCAGGATAAAAAGGTGGAGTTATAATACAGGTTTTAAAACTTGGAATCAATGGGAATTGCTCAAAAATTGCTATCTGTTCAACTCAGAGTTTGGGATATTTTTTCCTTCTTTCCTGCCATTGCTAGTGCCCAAAAGTTCCACATATCTGTGCACACATGTGGTGGACACCATTAAGAATAGTTCCACCTTGTGACAGCAGGCTTACTCAGCAAGCAGATGTTTCATCCACTAGATAAATGTGTGTTTCAACAGCTGTTCCATTTGCTTGGTCTGGAACATAGTCCTGCGGTTAGAGATCAGAGTTATGTCTCCTGGACTCTGATTTCAACTCTGTCAGTGACTAGTTTGTGTCAGGCAAACCACTTAACCTGGATCATTTAGAATAGGCTCTGAGGTTCTTGGATGTGTAAATGCTGAAGATTCTAGCAGTAAGCATATTGTCCTTCACTTCCCTGCCATTCAGCTTTTCAGTATTGTCCTTCTGACTGGATTCTCACTTTTCTTTCACTTTGCCTTTCCAAAGTCAGCATCTCAAGCAAAATAGCACATGTTAATATTTAGCTTTCCTCATGGAGCTGGCTTAATTTCCTTCCTCTCTTCATTCATGGCTAACCCTTCCTTCACCCACCTGTTTTCTTTTTTCCAGCATCGTGTATCTCACATCTTGGACGCCAATATTGTCCTAGTCCTGTCTGAGGGCTTTCTAGTTGAATGTGACACTGCCTCAAACTTACTCCTCAAAGAGGACGGCCTGTTCACCACTTTGGTGAAGACTCACAAGTAGACTCTCTCTGTCCACACTGTTCACGAGACTTCTGGCTCTTTGGTAGTTATCTTTACCTCTTTAGTTTCCTTTCTTTCTGCTTCCTTTCTTCCACTCAGCTTCTGAGATTACAGTGCAAGAAGGTGTTGTGTGGTTCCTGGGTTTGTTTAATTTAATGATTATTTATGCTAATCATAAATATGTAATTAAAGCTCAGATGTGCAGCTAACATTGAATCTATCAGGTTAAAGGAATCCACCCCATAAAGCAATTCCTGACCTTCTGCCCATATAATGGAATATCACACTTTTAGATTTTGTCCTGACTACCTGACTACTGTATTCATACAGCGCTGAAATCAAACTCAGCCTGGTTCCATTCCTTTTGCTTGTGGGGCTAAACTACTGCCTGTGGCATACTCAAATTTAATCTCAGAGAGAGCTAATTCATTTATAGAAGGAGGCAACCCAGGATTTCCCCAAGACAGATGCAGAGTAAGCAGTCAGGGTGCAGAACCCAAGGAGCAGAGCAGGATGCTAAGCCACCTGGCAGTGCAGGCATTCCCAGGATGTTTCTCACCCATATTTCCTAAAAGGGAAGATGTATTTTAGTGGTGCCACAGGATTTATTCCAACAGCTATGCTGTCCATAATGGCAATGAGCAGACCAAAAGTGAAATGTATACTGAAGTATTTTCAGGCTTGGAGGCTGTAATTTGTGATCTCTTCAGACTGAAGTAGAGGGACCTACTCCAAATGCCACTGTAAACACACAGGTAGCCTTCCACCAACAACTTCTGTGTGCTTTTCTTTATGGCAGCATCGGGTTCACACCATCCTAACTGCAGATCTGGTCATCGTCATGAAGCGAGGCAACATTCTAGAATATGACACCCCTGAGAACCTCCTCTCCCAAGAAGATGGCATCTTTGCTTCATTTGTCCGGGCTGACATGTGAAGAACAGCAGGATGTATTTTAATAGCTTATTTTTAAACAAATGAAATGCAAATATTTCCTATTCCATGTAACATTACCTTTTTTTTTTTTAAAGAGCTGCTTTCTTCACACTTCCACCTTCCAAAATAATAAAACCTATTGCAATACATGTATGCCTCAAAGCAATAAAAATATCACTTCATTCAAAAGCTATTCAACTTCACACACATGCACATGCACACAAAGAGGCAGAAATTTTGATTTCCTGGGAACGTGGCATTTTCCTTAGACTTTTAAGTGACTTTATTTTCTTTGATAGAGGGGAAAAGAATGCAATGCTCTTATAAACTGCATATGTTCTGCTGGAACCAGCAATCAAATCGTGCAGTTTGTCAGGGAAACAAGAGATCCCCAGAAGCATTCTGTCCCCAGAGGGGAAAAAATTTTTTAAAAAATCTAACTTGTAACTCTTGGGGCAATCTGCTGCATTCCAAAAGCCTAAACTTTGCTCTTCGAGTTGTAGTGGAGGAGCAGTGAATAAGGGAAAGAAATTTTATCAGAAATAAGGAAATTCTTCCTGTCTTTCATTTTAGTTTGCACACTATAGTTGGCACAGTACTGTTTTTCAGTGCAATGATGGCTTGTCCCTGCAGTCAGTTCCTAAATGCATATTTGTTCTGCAGACTTTCTTTCAGAAAGATGCAAATCATCCTATAATTATGCATGCTTTGCTAGACTTATAAAGGAATTTTGTACAGTATCTTAAGACTTCGTATTAAAATTAATCTGAATTTATAAACTTGATATTAGCCATTCTTATAAACATGTCCACTAAAATATTCTACTTAAAATGGCATATAATTTGCCACCACTAATTGTCTTGTATATGTTTAGTTCTTCACATTATTTTTTTATCTTGGGACAGCCTTTCTTTTCCTTTATATATTTCTGGTGTATCTCTAAATCAGATCTAGTCCAAGAAGCAATGATTTTCAAATTACTACTATATCTTCAAGAATTTAGGCTACTTTAGATCCATCTTTACATCACACAGCTTTGAAAAGGTTATTTGCACTTGACTAACACCTATGGCTGGATTTTGAACCATGACAAATGCACAATGGATAGTAAACCTTGAGAAAGAGTTTCACAGTCATACTTCCAAAGACACAGCTTGAGACTTGAGCTTCACTAGTGGTATTCAAGGAGTCTTACTTGTCTGTTATAAGATTTAGGAGGAATACGAGGTGCACATAAGTGCAACAACAACAGTATTGGGGGAAAAATAAAAGCTATGAATCTTGGAGAAGTTGTAGGACTTAAAATTTGGAATACAGTTAATCTGGTAGTGTGAAAATGATACAGTGATTTATCTTCTGGTTTTGGTTTGGTTTTGTTTTGGTCTTTTTTTTTTTTTCGTTTTGACTATTGGAAATAAAAGATGTTGGACAACCAAACATAAAAAACTCAGTCTTGGACATTTTATGTGGGGAAGTACTCCTGTGATTTCCCTGTCTACTGTTGTGAAAAGTTTTTGTTCTTTTTTCTGGATTAATTCCCTGTGTTGGCCTTTGCCATCCAAAGAAAATACAATAACACAGATGTTTGCAGTGCAAGTGCATGTTCTTACACAGATCTCAGAGCCAAAAGGCCAAAATCACTATTGATTTAATTTCATTGTCTGCAGTTGAAAGATAACTGGATTCATTGCTGTCAGAATCAGTCAGTATGAAATACAAAGAATTTTGTTTGTATCTTTGATGAGGATGCCAATGAGACCCTGGTTCCCACGACGTTAAATAGCTGCTGTGGTCCTACCTAGGACTGTTTCAGGTGTCTTGTAGTACTTAAGAGGGGCCAATAATTAGTTCCTCTCTCCTCTTACATCTTTTTCAGAGCCATTATATGTGTCAGAAGCACCTTCTTTACTCATCCATCCCACCAGAGCTATAGACCTTACAACTGCTGTTTAAACATGTAGAAAAGAAAATATATTATGCAATGAGAATACCAGCTTGCTTTATTCATTTTAGTGGGGGTGTGAAGAAAATATTTGCCCTAGTATTACGTTAACCATGATCAAAATGTTTGATGATTGTTGTAGCACATCCCACAGCTGCCTAGCAGGTTTGAAAGCACAATTTGATTCCTGAAGCAATTAACTGTATTCAATATATACAATTCCCAAGAGAGAGAGCAAACATAAACCAACTGCTATAGACATGCCAAATCTTGTGTCACACTCACCAAGGGCTTAGGCTGAATTTTGTTGGTTTGTGGTTTTTTTTGTGTAAAGGTCTTAAATGTGCCCCTTTTTAGGAGAAGTTTCCTTAGACTGTGGTGCATACATCAGCAGGA